TTTTTAGGGAATCCAATTAAATCTCAAACAATTATTAAAGGTAAGCAATTCAAATTGAATTTAAATTCTTATTTAAATTTCTAATTTTCGCGATTAAGACAACAAGATAATTGTGTGGTGTCGAAAGGGTGATTTGAGGGTGCTCATTTTCCTCGATCGTAAACGACTCCCGAATCCGATAATTCTCTGGTAAAACGCAGACCCAGAAAATGGAAAATAGATGCCCGATCTACTTAATTCAAAAACAATCAGTGACAACTCCATCACGATTCCAACTCGGAGCGCGAACTTGGGACCACCCAAAGGATCGTTGGACCACTCTCTTGCACTCTGGGTAAAATAACGAAACGATAAAGACCAGTCCTGGTTAAGGAGGCAAAATCAAATTTATGTTAATTATAAGTCAAAATATTTTCATATTATAAACTCATTTTCTATGAGAAATTTCATAAATAAGTAACAAAAAATTCCATAAAATTGCTTGAGTCAGTTTCTTAACAAGAGTAAAGTTTATGCACGGTCAACAATACGACTGTTGCGCACATTGAGTTGTGTCGCATATCACATTGAAGATGTGATCTTTGGGTCTTTTAAAGAAGACTTAGCTAGTTGGTTTCCATTGTCTTGGTCACCCCAATGCAAGGTTTTATTTATTTATTATTAAATTCCATTATGAGTAAGTTATGAATTTATTTATCAATTGAATTTTAATTTAATTGATATAATTATCCTAACTTAAAAATATATATTTAAGTTTTCTTGAGTGCATAATATCTTCGATATAGAAATTTGAAAATTTTAAATGGTTTAAATATTGTATAAAGAAGTTATTGGTTTAGGATTTATAATATTTTAATTTTTTTTCATTTTAATTTTTAATAATTTGAGTGATTATAAGATGATATTTTTCAAAATATTTTTAACCACTAATAATACACATACTCTACAGACGTAATTACTCGAACCTAAACTCTTTAAAGAGAACAACATTCCCTTTTACCACTAATATCCTTTTAATCTTATATTGTTTAAAATTTAAAATTTTGATCCATTCATATTTAAACCACTTCATTAAATTTACTAAGTTCAATCTTACTATTAACTTTTGTATCATACGTTTATTATAAACTTGATTCATATTCTTTAATTTGATATTTTTAATCTTATACATTTCAAATTAATACCGAAACTTTAAAATGTGAAATCTACATAGATTGAAAGCAACCAAATATATAATTAAATAATTATACATATATAAAACAAAAACCGAAATAAAATAATATAAAAGCGAACTCATTAGTAAAATGTAGTACTACTCTTTTTAGAGGTTTAAAATAGTAATACAAAACAGACACAAAATTGAACCTGAGAAAATGAAATAAAATAAATTAAACTCCTTAAAAATTAAATAAAAATATATAGAAAAAAATACTCTTTTATTTGATTGATCTATTGATCTAAAATGAGTTGAGATCTGTTTCTACACAATTTCCTTAAGATATATTTTTTGTCACTCCTTAGTGCTCGAGATCGTTGGTCGTCTGTTTCTCAGGATACAACAACTAAGTAATCAACATACAATAGAACAATTGTTGAGATCACGAACTATCATTTACCTTTGTCTATCACAAAAAAACTAGAGAAGTAGAGAATAATTTTCAAGATTTCTGAAATGCTTGAATTCTGAACTTAGAAGGTTAATTTAGTATTTATAAAGAATTTTTATGAGAGATTTACTCAAAATACATATCTTTTAATATTTAAATCTAAACATATAATAATATCTTTTAATTTAAAATGTTCAAAAAGATATATACACATTTTACCATTTCAACTTAAATAGATATTATTTTGTTCTTATAACTCTACCAGCAAAACTAAAAATATTTTTTAATAACGAATCCATAAATAACTTTTAAAGTAGACGTGTGACCACCTTAGTATGGATCCATGCTAATAATACTACTCATGATAGGGGAAATGACCCGCTTAGAAAGAGTGTGGAATCACCTCATTAGTGTTCATACTTTTCAGCAGCCGCATGTTGAAATCGAGATTGCGTTGCATGCCGACGTTAATAGTAGTGTTTTGGGTGAGAGCTAGTGTTTAGTTTCTGACATCTAATTAATTACGCTTAGCCTTATTCCTCATATGTATATTTAACGGCAACACATGTATCATATATAAACTGAAAAGAAAAGAAGTTTTTTTTTTCTTTTAAAGAAGAATGGGTCGTCGCCGATACAAGGTTGTCTATTCCGTTTTCCTTTTTTATTGTAACCTGATTTAAAAGATAAATATTTAAAGACTGAGAGACAGCAAATGAGATAAGGAGTCCCCTCCTCCCGCATCCTAGAAAATGTGACCCCATATTTCCTTTCAAGAAAAAATAAGGATTAAATTTGAATTGTTTTCGGTCCAAATTATTTTTTATTTGAGATACTTTCAATTCAAGTTACTTTCGATTAAGATCTGTATCGGTGTAATTTTTAACACCCTAAAATAGTACGACACACAATTGACCGATCAGAATGCTACATGGAACCACCAGAGTGTCTAACCAAAAAAATTCTTTATTTGCTCATTTAAAACGATTATTTGCAAATACTCTTAATAAAATAAATCACCATAATTTAATAAAATGATTTACATCAGGAGCTCCCAAACAATAAATCAAAATATATAGACCATCGCTTTAAAATAAGTTACGACTCGATTATACAAAAAAAATCTACAAATATACATGCCCTCTAAAAAAGAACTCGAGACGTACTCTGTTGTACTCAGTTTGGATCTCCACTGAGCAAAAGGCTCCCCAACTGCCCCTCTACTAACATGCATAAGGAAACAAATTCCAAACGCTAAGCTAACTAGCCCAGTGTCACACTAACACTAAATAATACTAAATGTATTCAATAGAATGCTCAAGCTATCAAGTCTAGTGCAATAGTGAGTATACTCGTATACTGCACTCTCTACTCTATGGTAGACATCATGGTGCGGTTGAGGGTTCTGCATCTTGGAGCTCACATACCCCTCTAGTCTATTAAGAATGTGGCCTGGAATCTCTACATCAGACACAACACTCTCGACTAACCCACCCCTTGCGAATGTCGAACCTTACGCCCTATTTAGTCAGTTTAAAGTGCCTTGCGCACTACCTAAGGATATCCGAACTGATTCTATTATTCAATACTAGCATTACTTCTAAAGTAATTCGGGTGTCCTGATCATTTCTCGGGTATTCAAACAAGGCTAGTTTTATGTCACCTTAATGTATCTCGTTTCTAATGTAATTAGACATTATTTTGGTTATCACTTGTAGTCTTATTTGGAAATAATTAGCCCTTTTGGGAAACCACATTTACCTTTTCAAATCTCTTGGGTTTCTTGCCAAAAAATGAACGAGGGTATCGATACTCACCTTTGGGTATCGTTACCTTAAGGCTAAATCAAGTTGAAAAATAGGTGATTGGTATCGATACTGCTAGTCCAGTATCGATACTCACAAACTATGGCATCGATATCATCTGAGGTATCGATACTAAAATTGAGTTCGATGCTTGAAAAAATACGTTAGTATCGATACACTGCTGAGAGTATCGATAATACTCCCATGAGTATCGGTACAAAAAATGGCTATTGGGATCTGCTAAGTTATCCCAGTATCAATACCATCCTACGAGTATCAATACCTCACCTACAGTATCGATACCCATTGTTTAAGTATCGATACTTCTAACTCAAAAACCCCTTTACAGTATAACATCTTAAGAACAATGTCGGTATTGTTCTTCTAGTACTGATACTCCCTAAACATGCCTTACTTAAGCACAAAATTGACTCTTTAAACCACCCAAAATGTCCTACTGAGGTTCCTATCATTATTAGAGTTTTATGTGATATTAAGGGGTCATAAAGAAGGCTTTGAAACATGTTATAACACTAAAGCATATAATTTACCATGAATACTATTTAACATGCTTCAACTCAACTATTAGCTAAAATGCATTCCTAGTGACCCACAAATGGTATGAAAAGATTATAAATGTGTTACCTCTAATTCTTGGCTGCTAGAAATGTCATCAAATCACCCAAGAGACAACTTCTCTTTTCCTCTTGTTCTTGAGCTCTCCCACTTCTTTCACTAATCAAAGGTAAGAAAAATGGATTACTAGTTTGGCTAGATGGTTGGATTAAAGTTAAGAATACTTCCTATAGCTTAAATCTACTAAAAACAAGCTACAATCCATAAACTCTCTTAAACCTCTAAAAACCCCCATTTTTGGAACTAATTGAAAAACTTGAGATATGGGGCTTAAATTGAACCTCTATGGTTGAAGATTACCATACTTACCTTTACTAAACTCAACTAAGCTTAAAATCCTTGGATTCTTCACTTGAGGGAGGAATGAGAAGAGAAGAAAGATGAGATGAAAGGAAGAGTGTTTGGTGAGTGTTTAAGGGTGTGGTTCACATAAAACATATAATAGAAAGGGGATTTTCAGCTTTTGAAATAAGCAACGGGTAAATTGCACTTTCAGCACCTCTTCTCTTAACTCAAATCATCCCCATCACTTAACTCCTTGGGCCCAGCTCAAGCCCGCTATCATTAAACTTGGTCCAACTATTTTTAACATGTCTTTTGGTCTCTAAAATATGGGTCTCGGGTTGACCCGAATCACTGACATGAGATTCAAGGTGTTACATAATTAAAATTTGAGTCAATATAGGTTTATTTTAAGTTTTTGATCAAGTTTAAATTTTATAAAAAAAAAATTACAGTTTTGGATCTTATAATATTTGAATATAGTATGCTTAATCTTATATTATCTAAAATTTACAAGTTTGATCCATGTTCAACCGACATCGTTAAATTATTAAATTAAATTCTACTATTAATTTTGTACTAGATACATTAATTATAAATTTAGTTTATATATTCTTTATTTATTTTTAATCTTATACTATTTAAAGATTTTAAAAATGTGAAATATACGTAGAAGAAAAGTAACCAAAACTATAATTAAATAATTATACATATACTAAAACATAAAAAAAAACTGACATAAAAGCACTCTCCAAACACACACCTCAATCCCATTAATTATACATATACTAAAAACATTACAAAAAACATGAAATAAAAGCACTCTCCAAACACACACCTCAATCCCACCCTATTAGGGATCATTAGTGAACACAGTAGTAACACACAATAAAACTAGGCAGAAATAATAAAGCTTCAATGATGCTGATGGCAAGGGCATTTGCGTCGTCCGACAATAATAATAGTCTTCCTTGTCACTGCCGTTGCCATCGTGGACGGTGGTGGTGGGGATCTGTAGCATTCCACAGGGCTTCCGTTATGAAAGCATGATGCAAATCTAGTCGGATGTTGTGGCCCTGGTCTTCTCGGAGGAATACCCCTATAACGCCCGCTTTGTTCCACTACATCAAACAAAAATTTACGTGTCATTGAAATCAGAAATATGAACTCCGAAACAACAATAAATACAAAAAATTTACATATTCATGTTATTTAAAAGTGGGTGAATACCATGTATCATGTATTTAATAGTATATATTATTTGTTTATGTTTGCAGTATTTGCTTTAATAAAATTTAAGAAACTTATGATTGAAGTTCATAAAATATACATACTGCAAAGTTAAATCATATCATAAAAGGAAAATAAAAGTGAAATAGAAACAAATTATGTTACCATGATGAACTTCTTGAGTTATAGAAAAGGGAAGGATGAAGGATAAGAAGAGGATGCAAATGATGGGAAAAGCATTCATTCTTTTGGGGGGGGGGGGGAGTAGCTACTCTTATTTTGTGCTTAACTTCTCCCTTCTCATCTATATTTATAGGCATATTGAAATTAAAAAAAATAAAAAAGAAAGAAAGAAGCTTATCCTTCTATTCTTATAATACTACCAACATTTGGGGGAAATGATCCACTTGGAAAGAGCGAGGAAGTAAATATCCACAAACATACTTTTTTTAATAATTTTATTAATAATGATTACGAGTGAAGTTATAAAATTATATATGTATTATTGAATATCAATTTATTCTTCATAATCGTGGGTTTTAATTATTTATTTAAGATTATAAAAAAATTATCATATTAATGTATTGTTTTTGTTATGCAAGTTGTACAAATCCTAACCCTATACTAAAATCTATAAAACACACTCATATTCATTTGAACCTTAATCTTAAATTATAAATTTTAAACATAAACCCTAAATTCTAAACCTTAAAGCTTAAATTCCTACATACTAAACACTAAATAAAAAACGTGATATTAAAATATATAAGTTTGTGTGGACCAAAATTTGCACATGTGTATCAAATAATTTTTTAATAATCATTCTCAATCACGTAATAAATATGATTGAGCATTAGATATTTTACGCAAACAACTTACTTAAATCTTAACTAGAAATATTGGTTTTTATTCATTTTCTTGATAAAATAGATAATGACATGCATTGGCCTAAAACTTTATTGACCATTTAAATGATTTACCCTCTATTCCGCGGTTCTTTAACGGCAACACATGTATCATGTTTACACTGACATGAAAGAAGTGATATTTTTTTTGTCTTGGTCTTGGTCTTGGTCGTCGCCAGCGCAGTACAGGGTTTTCTTTTTCGTTTTCCTTTTTTGTTCCACGACTGAGAGAGCAAAGGAGACCCACTTCCTGGAAAATGTGAACCCGTCTTTTCCTTTCAAGAAAAATTGAAATGCAATCTATTTTCATGGATAGGATCAAACTTTTTGAGCTTTGGACGCGAATAAAAAGAAAAGAAAAGGACGATGCTTTTTTAGAAAATACTAGTTACCACGACAATTGCGTGATTTCAGGGAAGGCAGTGCGTTTGCTTTAGCATCTTTATTACGATCCTCCTTGTCATATAACTACCACCAATACAATGGCGACGAAGTCCAATCTTTATCAATATTTTTCTAACAAAAGCACATGTAGGCTTCATGTTTATCAATATTTTTCAACTGTTAACTGAACCAATGGTTCATGTTGATCTATCTATCACCTGTTTTCGGCTACTACCTGAACCACCATCGCAGAATTGTGGATACTGGAGCGTCCAAAAATGGCACATAACGCTGGACAAGAGGATTAGCCGTCCTCACAATCTTTGCCCCAAAACTTTGGTGGTATCCGGAACTAACCGAAGCATGTACATAAGCTTCAAAAGCTGCAAAAGATGGGGAAAAGGGACCAAGGAAGCGAGAACACATTAATTCATTCCTTTTTCCCCACTCGTTCTTTCTAAATATGTAAACTGGGTAAATAGTTCTGTTTCTGTATCAGCCTATCACTAACTTCCAGACAAAGGCCGAACAGAAAGCTAATAAACAAAAAAAAATGAAAAATAAAGTTAGAGAAGAAAGAAGCATTACGGACCTGCCAGTACATGAAAATTTGTGTGATATTACGTTGCAACCTACAAAATTTAAGCAAATTAGAATGGTCATAGGAGGTGGAATGGCTGAATGGTAAAATAAACCAAAATAGGAAAAATGTCTAGTTAAGCAACTGACGAGAGTAACGAAACGATTAGAAGGAAGCCAACTCTAATCTCAGCATGTGAAGAGAGTATGTTCAAGGTCGTCGTGTTTGATTCTACCCACACACAAGGATCTTCCAAATACTTCCTGTATAAACGAAGGGGCTCGGTATTAGCACGGAAAGAAACCAGAAAGTTTAAGACATTTCAAATATGATATAACTGAATTTATTTAAGTGGACATTATTAGTCTGATCAAATAATTAATTAAGAAAACCATAGGCAATCATTTTATGTTCGTATAATATATATATAAATGGAAAATAGAAGTGAAATAGAAAGCAACTATCTTACCATGAATACTGAATGAAATCTAACAAATTAACAAACTTTATAACAGATTCATCTAATCAGGTAATTACTTTCTACACTCCCCTGAAGTTGGAGGATGAAAAATGTCTTTTATCCCCAACTTGGACACCGGCCTACTGTGTTGTTGAACTCCAAGTGCTTTAGTTAATACGTCCACAAGCTGCTCACCAGAACTTATATGTTCAGTTTTGATTAATCCTTTATGTATCTTTTCTCTAATGAAGTGACAATCGATCTCGATATGTTTGGTTAACTCATGAAAAGCAAGATTTGCTACAATTTGTAATGCATCCTTACTATCGCTATATAACATGACATGTTGTCTAGTTTCAATCCCAAGCTCACATGGTAGTCCCTACAACCAAACTATTTCTGCTGTAGTATTCGTCATGCTTTTATATTCAGCCTCTGCTGAGGACCTTGTAATGGTAGTCTATTTTTTGGACTTCCATGAAATCAAGGATTCCAGTAACTATGGAGGTAACATAAGGTAATAGTTCAAGTTTCAGTCAGATCCTATCAGGTTAAGTAAAATCAGATACAGGTCATGTCAAGTCAATTTGATGGTCCGACTCGGATCCAGGTCAACCAGTTACTAACTTCCTTGAAACTATGGAGGTAAAATAAGGTAATAGTTCAAGTTTTAGTCAGATCCTATCAGGTCAAGTAAAATCAGATACAGGTCATGTCAAGTCAATTTGATGGTCCGACTCGGATCCAGGTCAAATCAGTTCGGGTCATTTTCAGGTTAATTTGATGTCATATTCAGTTCGAGTTTAGGTCGGGTTAATTTCAATTTGAATCGATGTCAGTTCAGGTCAAAACAATTCAGGTCTAGAGTAGTTAAACACCAGGTTAATTCGGGTTCAAATTAACTTCAGTCGGATCCCGTTCAGATCTGGTCACATCATTGACAGATAAAATTCAGGTCGGATCTTTACCAGATAAGGATTGAGTTTAGGTCGGGTCATTTTTATTTTTGGATTAATTATTTTTCACCTTTCGTGAACGTTGAATTGCAATTTGTAATTGTATATGATTTATTGTAAATTACTAAAAATATAAATAACCATGGATCAATTTTTATAAAAATATAAATTTAAGGATTAAATTGAACAAATATGAAATTACAAATAAAATTTTAAATAAATTAAACAACACACATTGATGAGAGACTATATCGAAATAATTTTAAAATGTGAGGTTGAAATTAATATAGAAAATAACTAAATGACACATTTAAAAAGTTATGGGCCAAGTACAAAAATATAAATAAGAAATAAGAATGGGCCAAATTCATATGCAAATATAATTTTAAGGACTAAATTGAACAAATACGAAATTCAACTAATTAAAATTTAAATAAGTAGGTTAATGGAAGTGTTTCACATTTAAGGGGTAAGTTCTGGCCAAGTCATCAATTTCGACAAATCGGGAGTCTTCTTCAGTTCGAATGTGATTGATGGTAATCGGGATGATGTAAGACGTATCTTTGGGTTTTCGAATTCAACGGATCCGAAGATGTACTTGGGGCTTCCTGCAATAGTTGGCCGTAACAAAAGAGGAGCTTTTGCTCATATTCGGGACAGATTTAATGCACGTATTAGCTCTTGGAGCGTTAAGGTGTTATCTCAGGGAGGTAAGGAAGTTTTTATTAAAGCGGTGCTTCAAGCATTACCCCTTTATGCTATGTATTGCTTTTTACTTTCTAAGAGCTTGTGCATTGAAATTGAACTTATCATGGCTCGATTTTGGTGGCCTAACTCTAAGAGTGGGAAGAGGATTCACTGGTGTTTGTGGAAGACTCTTTGCAGACCAAAAGATCAAGGAGATTTGGGGTTTCGAGATATGTCGAAGTTTTATATGGCTCTGTTAGCCAAGCAAGAGTGGAGAATGTTGAACAATCCGAGCTCCTTAATGGCAAGGCTGCTAAAAGTTAAATATTTTCCGAGTGGAGACTTTTTTAATGCAAACTTGGGTTCGAATCCGTCTTATGTCTGAAGGAGCATATGGAGTACGAGAGGGTTGCTGGAGATGGGTCTGAGGTGGAGAGTGGGCTCGGGTAATTCCATCTCGGTTTGGAATGATTTCTGGCTTCCAAACAGAAGACCAAGGCGAATTGAATCTTCGATTGATCCGGAGATTAATTATGTGACGGACTTAATTGATCCAATCTCAATGGAATGGAAGGAAAAATTAATTCGTTCGGTGTTTGTTGAGAACGAGGCTTTGCAAATTCCTAGTATCCCCGTACAAAATATCTAATTGATGATTGTCGGGTTTGGACTGCAGAGCGTACGGGGTAGTTCATGGTTCGGAGTGCCTACAAATTACTGTTGCCAAGTAGATGTCACAGGTTTAAATATTAGCGACTGTTGTATGATGATTGAGCTTTCATTGTCAATGGTTGAAAGTATTTAAAACAAATACTACTTTATAATAGTTTAATAAAAAAATCATTTAGACGTAATTAAGTTAAAATTTATGAAATTTATTTAATGCCAGCCTAATAAGGAGAACTCATTAGTAAATCTTAAACGTAAGGAAACGTTGCGTATGCAGAATTTTAGGGTGCTTGGCGATCATGTGATGAAAAGACTTGATTTTGAGCATAGGCTGAAGGCTCCAAGTTGCCCCCACGTTTCCTTTGCACCATTTGCGGTCTCTCTCTCCCTCTACCTCTACCAATTCCCTCCATAGAAAAAGGCTGTCTTTCTTTTTTGGCAAAAAAAAAAGCACCCAAGGTCCCCCGAATTTTCAAAAAACCCAATATGGCTCTCGTCCTTTTTTTTCAATCAATATGACCCTCCAACTATGAAAAAAAAAACTCAGTATCCACCTACACATTGAATCTAAGATGAGGACAGAAACATGAAATCTATTCTTTGTGGTTCTCTTTGACATACGGTAATGTTCTAATTCAATGCACTTTTATGGAATTTTGCAGGTAGAAGCCGGCCAGTTATGGACTGGGCTGTACGAGTAAAAGTTGCTGCAGGAGCAGCTCGTGGGATAGCTTACCTCCATGAAGACTGTAATCTACTTGTTCTTCTTTCTTTTATTTGCCCTATATGCTTCAAACCTTGAAATTTATGAATTAAGTAAACAGTAGAGTTTAAATAACATATAGACCCAGGTTTTCTATGCTCTTCCTATGATATATTCCATCATTACATCATTCTTGTTGTAACTTCTTATGCAAGATCTCTTAGAAATTTTATTGCTTCAATCAGGCCATCCTCACATCATTCACAGGGATATCAAGTCATCAAACATTCTTCTTGACAACAATTTCAAGGCTCAGGTATGCCATTCCGTAGTCTATACTTTTGTGAACACCATTAATTTGAACTTGAATTGCCTTGGGGGATTTTGAAGGTAGTGCCAAATCATCTATTGTCAACTATAAATTTTCTGCATTAAATTCGTATTACAAACATTTTCTCACTGTGCTATTCTTAGTACCTATATTGGGGTTTTCTTTTTTTCTTCACTATTATAATTTCCCTTTTTTGCACTTTAGGTTCTGCCCCTCAATTCATGTCTCCATCATAGGTTTCAGATTTTGGACTTGCGAAGTTGGCATTGGATTCAAATACTAATGTGACCACTCTAGTGATGGGAACCTTCGGGGTAAGAAAATATGTCGTTTTGTGATACATCTAGTGGAACTAAACTTGCATGTGCTTATACATGATTTTGTTGTCCCCGTATTGCATAAGCATAATCCTTGTACTTTCTTTTGTCGGTTTAAAAATTCCCGGCGTAAAGCTAACACCTAAGGTCCTATTTTAAATGGCATATTATCACTTTGATATATTTAAAGCACATTGTTGTGATTCGAAACGTTTAATATCCAGTTATTTTGGGATGTGATGCTCCGTTCGACTGTGCACTATGCTTTTTGTTGTCTTTTTTACTTGGTAAGCAAACATGTAATGTATCGTAATCAAATTATCATATTCAGGTGTTCTGATTAATGAATTTATTCTTTCTTAGATATATGGCTCCAGAGTATGCAACAAGTGGCAAGTTAACAGAAAAATCCGATGTTTATTCCTTTGGTGTTGTGCTCCTGGAGCTAGTTACTGGGCGCAAGCCTGTTGATGATACTCAGCCCCAAGGTGATGAGAGCTGGTTGAATGGGTAAGTCTACGCAACTAGGTTTGTGTTATAGAAAGGTTTGATGTGCTTTGCTCGGACTTCTTCAAAGATTTAGCTTTTCTTTAAATCTTACGATGATCGAATAATCTTGAATTTTTCGATTTTTCCAATAAAATCTGAAATCCAGTGTAGCTTCAAACAAATGTTTCCAAAAGTGCTTCACCTAGTCGTTATTACCTTGATCATTTCTTTCTCTAATGCAATGGAACCCATGGCAATGTTCCAATGCCAAACGTTTTAAAATGATCCAAATTTTGTTACTTGGGCTCGACCATTGTTCGCTGAAGCAATCGAACATGAGAACTTCGAAGAGTTGGTGGATCCAAGACTGGGAAACAGTTATGTGAAACATGAGATGTTTCGAATGATCAAGGCAGCTGCCGCTTGTGTGCGGCATTCAGCTGCTAAAAGACCAAGAATGAGCCAGGTAAATATGTTTTAGTAGTGCAGTAACTTCGTTTATTATAATGTTTGGCTCACGGAAGAACTTCTTGGACGTCTACTTCTCAGGTAGTGAGAGTTCTAGACTCATTAGACGATTCATCGGATATCACGAATGGAATGAGACCCGACCAAAGTGGAGTTTTTTATTCGGCATAACAATCTGCTGAAATCAGATTGTTTCAGAGATTAGCTTTTGGCAGTCAAGACTACAGTTCTAGTTTCTTTAATCACACTCAAAGCAGTTGGAGAAGTCGAGAATACGGTAGTCAGGATAGTTGGAGGAGCCGAGAGCACGGGAATCCGAGCAGCCGGAGTCAAGAGCATAGGGACCATAGCACCTTATACCCGTAACACGCCGGACAACTTCAATGGTACCCGAACACTCAAGATGGCATCAAAGTTTTGAAGGGGATAATGCCTTTACCTTAACTCTCAAGTTTTGGGTAAGATTTGAAGACTTGAAACATCACGGAATCAGGTTTTGCTGCTCACCGTATTGTGTAATCTTTGATCACTATTTTTTGCTTTTTAATCATTCCTTCTATTAATTTTTATTTATTTTTACTTGAGAGGATGAATTATATATATATTCTTTTTTATCTTAACTTATGTAAAAATAATTTTTTAAGGAATCTTTTTACTTTTGTATGTCAATGTATCTACTTCTATTGTCTATCATTACTTTATTTTTTTATCTGGATTAGGTATTAAAATACATTCATTTTATATCGATAAATAAATTAAAAAAATAAGTTTCACATTTATATTTATATTAATAATTTATCAATATTAGTTTTGCGCAATAATATACTTTTAAAAAAAATTCTAAATCAACTCACTGAAATAAATGATATATAAAATATAATTATTTAAAGTTAAAATTAAACCACTAAAATAAATTATTTATATTAATATTAGTTTTCTCTCGTTGTGTGCCGCTCATCTCTTTTCTTTTTCGTCTTTGTTGATAGGCGGATTTTAATGTTGATTGTCGATCGTCGATATTTTTTATTTTCTTTTTCTTTTCTATATTGTATCTTTATTTTCTTTTGTTCTTTTTTTTAATAAATTTGTCTATGTTATACGTTGTCATCTATATTTATGACACATTTTCTAATGTTTTTTTACATGTTTCTCGATTCTTTGGTCGTTTTTCATTTATCTTTTTTTCTAAGGATTGATTTGACATCGTCACGACTGATCAAGATGGCGCTTATCTGATATATTGTGATATTCCTTGCTTTGGACCCTCATATTGGATTTGGATACACAATTTGTGTTCGTGGATAACTTTTCACGTCGCTCGAGTCTGATTTGTTGTTTGTCGGTGCTCTTTCAATAGTTTGATCACATTTGTCGATGCGATAAGATCTGTTTGTATATATCTTAGTACGAATTTCTTGGTTAGATTTAATATTTCCTAGTATTATATGGTCTTATTTCAATGATTATAATATTTTTTTTAATTTTGTGATTAATTTACACATCATTAATATCAAAAATACGCGTAAACCCTGAATATTTAAATGAAATAATTCAATTGAAAGTCATTTATTAGATCTTGGATTAGATAATTTATTCATTGTACCGCTGCTAGTTTTGGGCCACAAAAACGCCATATTTATCTGATCAATCCAGCCAATGTTTTAGGACGGTCAGATCTTCGTTTTCAATTCTTAAATCCCAGCAGATATAATTAGAAAAGAAAATTGGAAGATAAAGTAGCCTTCCCCTCATTCATTATCATTCGTCAGTTTCATCCCATGTATTATAAACCCAGGTAAGAAGTAAAACTTTTCTCTGGCTTAAAGCCTACCAATTTCCCGATATCTATCTATGTAGCTTTTGTTGTTGTTTTTTCTCTTCCCAAAGTATTGTTGTTGATTTGCAAATACTCATGGCTTGTTTTAGTATTGTGTGCAATTATGGGTGTTTTGTTAGTGAAGGAAACTTGGTTATTGATAGTGGGAAAACCAAGTCTATTAGGAGATATACTGGCTTTTCTTATACTTCAGTTTGCTTTCCTTCACTTGGTATATATAGCTATAACCACTGCAAAACCCAGAACTTGTTCTTTTCTGGTGATAATAGCTCTAGGTTTATTAGTAATGGAAGAAGCAATGAGGTTCCTTCATTGGGTTTTCGAGTTTGTTGCAAGGCACCCAATGGGTTATTGATGAAGGGGAATAGTGGAGATAAGGAAACCCAATTTGGAAAAGGAGGAAGTAGCCGTGTGAGAAAGATATTTTCAGTAAGATTGCGTCCCCGGTTACGGTTATTAACGAGAAGAATGAAGAGACTCTCAGTTAGGTCGATGTTAAATGATGTAGCTGTGTTTTTAAGAAAGAATATAAGAAGGGTTAGTCTTTACAGCACGATAACTCTAGTGTTGGGAATGTGCTATTTGTTCTTGAAATTAACTGCAGTGCCATCTCCTAAGATTGTTCCGTACTCGGAGTTTATAACAAGCCTTCAGAGTAGTTCCGTGACAAAGGTTTTGCTTGAAGAGGGTTCTCGTCGTATATATTTCAACATGGATTCTAAAAGTGATGAAAATACTCAATCGGAAGAAGAATCATCGGCAAGGAACGATTCAACAGAAAACCTAACTGATATGGTTGCAAGAGAGGATGGTAGACAATTGCAAAACCAAGGTCTATTGAAGAGGTTTTCAAAACCTAAAACTTCTACTTCTCCGTGGATGTATTTGACAAGAAAAATTGATCATGATGAAAAGTTTCTTCTTAGTTTGATGCGAGAAAAGGGAACAACTTATAGCTCAGCACCACAATCAGTTCTAATGGCAATGAGGAGTACTTTAATAACTATTATATCCTTGTGGATTCCTTTAATGCCTTTGATGTGGCTTCTGTATCGTCAACTTTCAGCTGCAAATAGCCCAGCAAAGAAGCGGCGACCGAATAATCAGGTTGTTGGGTTTGATGATGTGGAGGGAGTTGATACTGCTAAGGTGGAGCTTATGGAGGTAAGAACTTCTCAATTTCCACAAAATGAATGTAATTTCTTTTCTTCTTTCCCCTTCTGTTTCATATCCTATGTCAAGACATTCATATGCTGGCCACATCATGATGAGGATAGAATTTTGCTTATTTTCTAGAATTTATTCAAATTGTTTCCATGTGTGATATAGTCTCAAGAAGGTAGTAAACCAACCAGGATGTTACCATAGCTTTCATTTGTGATCTCCTTGTCTTGGTTTTATTTCCTTTGGAAGGCATTTGAATTCATCGATGATACTGCTAACAATTTTTTGGCTGTAAATACTTTTCGTAAGCCCAAAACCAAGTTATTTGGTTTAACAAATTCGTATGCCATGCATTAGGCTTTTGCTAGAAGGGTGTCCTTTCTGGTACTTTCTCTTGTTTGAATTAATTTATTGTCCTGGAAGTGTTCACAACTAATAACAAATGTTGATGCATATATCTTAGATCACTTAGCTCTTTGTAGTTCGACTGCTATATTCTCTAGGGGGTGTTTGTTGTCTTAATAGAGACAATGTCCCCTATAGCTATTACAAACTAGGTTTACTTAATCTCTCATGAGTAATGAAGTAATTTTCTGTCCCTCTCTGCTGACACAAATCCCTTCTGTAGATCGTTTCATGTCTTCAGGGCTCTGTAAACTACCAAAAACTGGGAGCAAAATTACCTAGAGGTGTGTTGCTAGTGGGTCCACCAGGAACAGGGAAGACATTACTAGCTCGTGCAGTAGCTGGAGAAGCAGGAGTTCCTTTCTTTAGTGTATCAGCTAGTGAATTTGTTGAATTATTTGTTGGAAGAGGAGCAGCTCGAATTCGAGATCTTTTCAACGTGGCTAGGAAATCTGCCCCATCGATTATATTTATTGATGAACTTGATGCAGTTGGAGGGAAGCGTGGTAGAAGCTTCAATGATGAACGAGACCAAACATTAAACCAGGCAATTTAACATCCTATTCCTACCCTATTTGCATTGCATATCTGCGTTTTACTTATATTATTATGATCAAATTGGGACTTCAATAAACATTTTATCACTTCTGTGTAAAGATTGCCCTTTACAATCAAACCATATTTTTGCAACAACAAAAAAGGTCCTATAAATTCTTATTTAATTTGAAGGATCTATCCATGGGTTTTTCTCAAGTTTTGTTCTTGTTTCTTTTTTGAAAATTTAAACCAAATACAGAATTCGAAAATTTTGGATTCTCTCCTGCTATTAACGGGCTTTTAAAATCCTATTTTGTTGCTGCAGTTGCTGACTGAAATGGATGGATTTGAGTCAGACATGAAAGTGGTTGTTATTGGGGCAACTAATAGGCCAGAAGCACTGGATCCAGCCCTTTGTCGCCCTGGTCGCTTCTCAAGGAAAGTATTGGTGGGAGAACCAAATGAGGAGGGACGGAGAAAGATTTTGGCTGTACATTTGAGAGGAGTTTCTCTAGAAGAAGACCCACAACTTATTTCTGAGTTGGTTGCTTCACTGACCCCGGGTTTTGTAGGTGCTGATCTTGCAAACATTGTCAATGAAGCTGCTTTACTTGCTGCTCGTAGAGGTGAGAAGCTGATACATAGCTCCATCTGGTTTCAGATTGCATTGCCTCTACCGCTGGTTACGTTTTCTCCTTTTCCTTTTTAAGTTCGTGTTGAGCATTGTAAAAGCAAACCCACCTACCCCACTCCCAAAATTTCTAATAACCAGATCGTTTGCTGAACCAGTGAGGGGTCCAGTTTTTGGTTTAACCGGTTCCACTAATTCCATTGGCCTGTTAGATTAAAACATTATTAATGTTGAGAACAAAGCTGAACTTTTTGTCTCGCTGTGGTTGTTCCTGTAGGTGGTGAAACAGTGACAAGGGAAGATATAATGGAAGCTGTTGAGAGAGCTAAATTTGGGATTAATGATAGACAGCCTAGTATAATAGGCAAGGAGCTTGGGAAACTTTTCCCATGGGTACCCTACTTAATGGGAAGGAGTGATCCAAGACAGGATGGTTTACAAGGGCCTTTGGGCTATCAAACCTTAAGCTGATAAGTGCTACTTTCTCAGTGCTTATACTGTTATTCTTTGGTTATATGAACCTGAAAACAGTTTTTTTTTTGTTAAACCTTTTCGTGGAGGAGATGTCTATTGGAAATGATGAATTAGGCGCTGCTTTGCCTCTTATGATTTAGGTATTAACATCCAGATATCCTAATAATGGCCTCATAACTCCTCAGAAATCAGTCCTATTGATGTGTATTAGGTAAATGGCTTTGATCACACTGATATTTAGCCTGTGGAGATGATCCAAAAGTTTGATTATTGAGCTTGTTAGTCACTTTACCAAAACATGATAGTCTGCAGTGGCTTTTGTCATGCAATGACCTGATACTTTGTTGTTGTCAAAAATAATCCTTAATTCCCATATTTCTATTTAGGATTTAAATGAAACAGAGGGTGTGATTAGTAATGTGTTTATATTCGTTCTTGAGGCCTGCTGCAACAACTGATAAATCCAATATTGAAAACCTTGATTAAACTATAAATAGAACTAAGACGTGAGATGTGAACGTTGACCTCTGCTACCATATTATTGTTCAACTTGTAAAATTGCAGTCTGAAATTTGTAATAGCTATTTACTATAATTTCAAGGAAAAGGTGCGAGTTACTCCGGCAAACGTAAAGCCATAAATCTAAAGCTAATTTTTGGTGTGAGTTGCACCGGCAAAACGTAAAGCCATAAATCTGTAGCTAATTTTTCCAAGTTCAGGGTTGGCCTGGGAAGAATTCCCTTGAGTAGCTAGACATAAGCACACCAGATGCATGAAATGGAATCCAAATCAACTAAAGTGGGTAGAGATAATGTAATCTTCAAAAACCTTGTGTTTAGTTACATCCATTGGTGAGTGGTTGATTTTCATATCGCACTGTCGTTTTTCCATATAGGAATTGCTTGAGCTACTAGTCATAATCACACTAGTGGTTACCAATTGATTGGACTCCAACTTGGCTATGACTTTGATATGCACTTAATTTGATCATAGGCTTCATCATAATACATGCACATACTGATATGAGATTTCAAAGAGCAAAATTCCATTGATATGGCAGATACATCACCAAATGTTACATTTATTTATCTACATTATTGGTGGAAATTACCATCTGATAAGACAAAAGTAGCCATCCTGAAATGAAAGCCATTGTTTAACCACTTGGTTAAAACTTTCATTCTGTGCCTATTTCTACCTTGATGCTACTTGGAGATGCCATCTTTGACTTAGTAAATTGCAGCTTCTTTTGTCTTCTCATCAACTCTTTCCTGCATGTAATTAGATAAGCCGGATAGAAAAGAGTGATCAGTATCATATCACTTTACAGTTCTATTGAATCTTCTCTCTCCCTGGCTAAAAAAACTTACCCCATGAGTATTCTATCAAGGCTTGAAGTCGATAGCAGTCCTCTGTTCTCTTCAGCCCTCCTTAGGAGGTATGGCACTACCATATCTACAGGTCCATATGGTAAATACTTGCTAACTTGAAACCCTGCATTTTTCAAACCAAAAGAAAGTGCTTCAGACATTCCATATAGCTGAGCAAATTCTAGCTTTTGGTTTCCCTTTCGGATCCCTAGATCACATGCTTTTGATGCCACCAGTTGCCCTGTTAATCATTCATCGACCTGTTAAATCAATCCTGTGTCTCAAATCTCATCAGGGATGAAAAAGTACATTACCTGACTCAATATTATGAGTAGCAAGAACAACTGCACCATAGCCATCAGCAATCCTCTCGAGCATAAAAGAAGCACAGTCATTGTAGCATGCATGCGTCTCCCCAATGCTGTTGTGAATCGGGGAATCGTAGCCTAACAATGAGGCCAAATTGCTTTCACTAGACATATAAGCACCCCTTACTAGTTTGAACCCCATAGGGATCCCCAAACTTTCTGCAGTTTTTGTTGCCATAAACAGCCTCTCTCTTGCATCTTTCAAGTATGCTTGAATCGTACAGTAAACGATAGGTTTATCATCTCGGTTATACATGATTGCCGAGGAATATGTAAAGTAATCAATGGCAGGTTGTATCGATGTGTCCTCGGCATCAATTGTGAGAGGCACATTATCTTGAATACACTTTTGGCAGAGTTTAAGAAGTCTCTGGTGAGCCAAGTGAAGGTCTAACTCCTCTTGTGATGCCAATGGTGCTGGCTTTTCGAGCGTGTGGTATAAAGCACTGGAATCTGAGAAAATGGGTAAAGTGTTGAGCTTCCATGGGAGATTAAAAGAAGGGTCCTTGTATTGCCACCTCAGCAAGTCACTAACCCTCCTTAGCAGGCCGATGGGGCAAATTGCAGTAATCTTTGCTATGACAAAGCTCACCTGAATAAATGAACACATGTTTAGTCGGACAACTTGTTTAGCGTTTTGTCTGCTGTCACTAGCAAGGCAGCTGTCAAAACAACAGCCGATCCTTTTCACTAATGCACCGCTTTCTCCATCACAAAACACCAAAAACAGTCTAAGACTGAATCCTCGGGAAACGCTCCACCATTTAAGCTCACGTACATGCACATAAAGCTAAAAAAAAGTCTCATACAATGGAAAGACTTCGAATAATCGGTAAGTGCCAGATTTTAAAATGTATTCAAGTTTGATATACGTATTTAATATATGTATAATACTAATAATAATGGTTTTAGGGGGAATATATCTTTAAAACCCGAGAGGTTTACGTGTTGGGACAATAATCAATGAGGATAAGAACCCTTACAGATGAAGGTGGAAGTGACTTGGAGAGTTCAACACTCTTTATAAACCCTTCCAAATTCCGATCACAACCGGCGTTATCTTCTGTATGCTCGACCGCGTAAACGAGCATCCCTCTGAAACCGCTGTCGTGTACTCTCCTAACGCAGTCGGCCGCCTCCTCGGTGGTTTCACCTGCGCAAAATTGTTGAAAGAAGGTATGTTTTACGGTTTTTAATATAGCATCACGTACCAAACTTGTTTCCATGAGTCTGGAATTCATAACCCACATGCCGAAATCGATGAAACGCTCATTGGAAGCCAACCCGAGGGTGGCCGATGAACGTAGGAGTTTCAAGGTCGAAACCGAGGCGAAAAGCTTTTGATGATCAGAAAGGTCGAGGTTTGTGGTGGCGGTGGTAGGTTCAGTCAGCTGTTTTTCGGCGTCATTGGGTTCAGGCTTTTCGTCGAAATTGAGGGGTGAAACGGCGGCGATGGAGGCGGTGGAGGCAGAGCTAAGAAACCTGGTGAATGGAGGGAGGGTGTTGAGGAGCTTTGGCGAGAGAAACTTTGTTGCCATAGAAGGGAGGACCGGACAACAGAGAAGTTTTGGTCTTAAAAGAAAATTTATAATAATAAAAGCGTGAAACAAGGTGGGAATATATAGAAAAAAAATTACTATACTAGTAATAATTTTATTAAAGTTTTATTATTAAAAATTAATATATTAAATGTTAATGATGTCATAAGAGTATAAGGGAAACTGACAAGTAGGTGACTAAAAGGATAAATTGTAGGCAAGTTGACATGTTAATGACTAGGATTGCAAAGTTCCTATCTCTCTCATTTATTAAGCGGCAAAAACGTTTCATGGGTTTGTCCCGTGTTGTATCTGTGTTCCGTCACCAACTTTATTTATTTATGTATTGGGTATATATGAATACATAACAATAATTATTAAACATATTAAAATTTCATATATAATAACGGTATGAATATTCAATTTCATATATATTAACATCTTGTCTTCTCTCGTGCTCTTTGTGTTTCACACATCACAACGTTGGGAAGGAGAGAGATGACTCTCATGGTTGGGCCAGTGCTTGAAGGCTTGAGTTTTTTATTTGGTTCCTTGCAGCTGAGCGTATCACCGTTTTTTCTACTTCTTCAGCAAGAATTTGAAGTGTTAATCGTTTTTTCTTTAGTTATCGGGTTTTATTTTTTTTCTTTTGCCTTTGTTTTTGTTCTTCAGCTGTTTTGCTTTTGTTTGTTAGCCTGTTGAACTTCTTCTGGGTGTTTGATACATCTTTTACATGTAATAATATTGACAATTTCTGTTCGGAAAAAATATTGATTGTAGAATTTTCGTTTTTTATCGTAAGATATATATAAAGGCTTTTAAGAAAATTCAATGGGATAGACTAACGGATAGAAAAAAAGTACGACGTGTATTTAATCTATTAATAAATATATTAATTAAGATTTTTATGAAATGATTCAATCTAATGTTAAAGATTAACTTCTTATATATAATAAAGAAAAAAATGAGGAATACATGTCTTGAATTCTCATTCGAATGTATCTATTGAATATCTATATTTTTAAATTTATTTTTCTAAATTATGAATGAGAAATAACCTTGATAAATTGTGTTTTATTCTATTACCGACCTTAATGTATCATTCTTTTAAGTTGTGTAATACATTTGGTATTAAATTGTATGTTTAAGGGTCACAATTATCTTTGTAGTTAATCGAATTTATCAATTTTACTCTTATTACATTTTTACATTAATTTTATTCTCGAAATCATTTAATTTCATCAATATCTATCGTTTTAATTAACTGAATCTTTAATTTCTACATAAGTGGACGCCAATTATTTTCACATTATAGAACTAAAATTGTGATTTTGTTTCCACGTTAGAGGACTAAAATTATAATTTCTTCTTTTCTTTCTTCTATTTTCCAAAACTACGTAGTTTTGGAAAATGTATATATACTATTTTAAGTTTCCTCCCTCGTACTTTTTTCTGAATTTCTTTTCTTCACTAAGCCTTTCACCTGTGCCCTCCACTCTCAGGTATGATTGCTCCATCGGTCAATCACCGGCCACCTTTGACCGCCGGTGACTACCGCGCCGATTGTCGACGCTGACCACCGTTCGGGACCCAAAATACATTAGCAAAATCGTCTTGTGCTCCTCGTCATGAATCCGACCTTCGATTACTCGAATACATAGCCGATCATCGTAGATCTAGCAACATCGCCGACCACATTTTCTTTTCTTCTTCTTCAATTTTTTATTTTATTTTTTTGTCTACATTTTCTTTGCCAACATTTTCCATGGAAGATACTCTTCTCCACATACCTCCAGACTACAAGCTTCCATTTTCATCAATTTTCCACCCTTCAATTTCCTTTTCTTTAACTCAATCCTTTCGACTTGAAGACGTCTTAAGATTCAAACCTTGTTTTAAATTCCTTCTCACTCTTTTTCTCTTCAAAACTTCTGGTTAATTTCCTTCTCTTCTCTCTCTCTCTCTCTCTCTCTCTCTCTCGTGTAAATTTTCATGTTTAATATCTTTGGATTTTGTAAACTTATCTCTAGGTTCTGAATTTGAAGCCCCTGTTCTTGTTTTTCGTTTGTTTCTCAACCTTGTAAAAGTCATATGTTTTCCTTTTTTGGGTTTTTTTTCCAATTATTGAACCATTTTTTCTGGGATTAGTTAATTTTTAAGTGATATTTGAGTTTTCAAATTTCTTATTGATCCTAAACTAATTTCAATCCGCCTTGATCTTTTGTGGAAAATAAAAAGTACTCAAATTGTTTGTGATCCGTATCATTCATTGTGCCCAATAAGAAGCAAGTGTTTTTCTGTTTTGAAATCCATTCGAGATTCTCTTTGTAAACTTAAACTGCTAAGTGCGATGAACAAAGATTCCTTAGTTCGATTCTTCTTTAAAAAAATACTCAAATTAGGGAATTCAGTTAAACGAAATGGAAACCATGGAAGCTGGGAAATTTAAGCTGGTTGTTCTTGTTTAGAACAAAGGGGAATTTTGATTTTGGGATTTTTGAATTGGAAGCCATGGAAGCTGGAAAATTTAAGCTGGTTGTTATTGTTTAGAACAAAGGGGAATTTTGACTGAGGGGTGGTTGAGGTACTAAACCTTTTAAAAATTTAAAATTATTATATATTTAAATTTTTTATATTTTTTATTAAAAATATATTTTCATCCTTTAAATTTTATAAATTCAATACTTTTATAAATTCAATACGAGAGAGGCATGAGGGTGAAGATTGCGTTGAACGAGAAAGGCCTTCAATACGAGCTCGATCCGAGGACTTGTACCGGCGGCAAAAGCGAGTTGTTGCTCGACTCCAACCCCATCTACAACAAAGTCCCCGTGTTTCTGCACGACGGTAAACCCTTGTGTGAGTCCACTGTCATCGTTAACTTCATCGACGACACCTGGTCCGATTATATTGAGTATTGAGAAAAAGGTATTTGATGCAATTGGGAATATACGGAGAAGCAAAGGGGAGGTACCGGTGGAAGCGAAAACGAAGTTCATAGAGATATTGAAGCAGCTAGAAGGTGCCTTGGGGGACAAGGATTACCTCAATGGTGCCACGTTCGGATTCGTTGACATTATAGCAATTCCTCTGACCTGTTGGTTCTTGGCGCTCGAGAAGATCGGCGGGTTTACGGTGGCGGACGAGTGTCCCAAGTTCTCCGGTTGGATGAAGCGGTGTTTGCAAGGGAGAGTAATGGCGGACCCTGAAAAAGTGTACGAGTTTGTCTTAAAGTTCAGGAAAAATGCAGGGTATCGACTAGGAGATGACTGTTTTTCCCTTAGTTTCACTAATAAAATAAAGGGTTAAATACATGTCTTACCTCTAAAAGTTGGATATATTTTTAACTTTGGTCCCTGAATAATGAATTCTCAACTTATCCCATTGATTAAGTGTTTAGACTGTGCTCGAGATCCTTAGATTTGAAGCCCTTCCAGCTATAAAGCTTATTTATCTTATATCCAAAATAATTTATTCTTATTTAATTTATGTGATTCGACAATCTTTATGTAGAAAGGAAATAAAAAATATATTATCTTTTACATCATTTGTCATTTCTTAAATGTATTTTGCTCGATTAAAAATTGAAAAAATTATAAGGAAAAGCAAAATAAAAATTGAAGCAAAACCTACTTTAGCCTGCTAGTAATTGGCTAGTCAATGGATTTAACCCCCTAAAAAATAAATTATATTACCCTTTGAAAAGGAGGAAATAAATTTATAGGGGTTGAAGTTTTTGCTTTCAACTTGCTTTAATGTTTAAGCATGGATTGTGATGAAGAAAGTAACGGTGGTTAAGCTAAGGCTTAATTCTCAAATAAGTGTTCAAACTATGCCTTTTTTGTCAAAAGTGTCCAAACCATGTCATTTTTGCTAAAAATAAGTGTCTACGTTTTTTTATCTATTCAGGTATCTAATGTTACAAACATTGCCCTTTTAGGTGCACAGATCGTCAACGCCGTTAGTTTTCCCGTTAAATGTCATGTTTCAACACCTGATAATTTTATTTTCTTTTATATAAAAAACATTAAAAACATTATTGTGTTTATAAAAAAAAGACCCTAACTATTCTTATATAATAAAACAACCCAAAATACTAAATCCTAACCTTAATACACCATATGCGCCTTCACCAACATAGTCATTAACATCATCCTAGTTATATGTCATCGTAATTGTGCCGATTAACCGTCGAAATCGAGTGGGATCACGATTTTCATCTTAAGTTTTGTGAGATTTAAAACGTCGATTTGTGGTCAATTAATCGTTAATCGATCACGATTTCATAGGAGTTATTTTAAATTTTATATTTTTTCTTTTTAAAAATATATATATTTTATTTTTTAAAATTTTATATAAAACTTTTAAAATTATCAAGTGTTGACACGTGTCACATAATGAGAAAAACTAACGGCATTGACGACCTGAACACTTAAAAAATTAACATTTATAACGTTAGACACCTTGATGGACAAAAAAACAGTAGGCACTTATTTGAAAAAAATGATAATTTGGGCACTTGTTTGGGAATTAAGCCTTAAGCTAATATGAAAGATCATAAATAATATTATATTTAAGTAATATTAACAAAAGCATTTGGATTTTCTTTTGGGTTTTATTGATTATCAAAATATATACAGGCTCTTACAATTTTCGTACACCAATACGACGCCGTATACAAGCACCAATTACAGACCATGGATACGAAAAACGGGTCAACTTGAAACCCGATTCGTGGGGAATCACATGCCCTTCATTTTCATTTGAGTGCCAATAAAAATCTCTCGCCACTGTTCTCAGCTCAGAGATCTATTCGTACCTAGAAATGGGTTTAGGGTCGTTAGCTTCAAGAACTCTTAAATCCTCCAGGATTCTCTCTTCTCAATACTCTCGATTCCGACCCATCGTTACCAAACCCGGCCTCCAATCCCCCGATGCCTCATCGGCCGCCGCAGCAGCGCAGCCCGAACCCACTCCGCCTCCCCCGAAGAAACCCGTGGGCGGTGCCCGGGTCGAGTTCACGAACCCTGATGATTCCATGGAGGTGTTCGTAGATGGATTCCCAGTGAAAATCCCTAAAGGCATGACTGTGCTTCAGGCCTGCGAGATCGCTGGAGTTGACATTCCTAGGTTTTGTTATCATAGCCGACTTTCGATCGCGGGGAACTGCCGTATGTGCCTTGTCGAGGTTGAAAAATCCCCCAAGCCCGTCGCCTCCTGCGCCATGCCCGCCCTCCCAGGTGAGCCTATTGGTTCCATGCTTGTTATTTTTTCATTTTAGCTAAGTTCATTCATCTGTTTGAATTTGACCTTTATGGATGAACAAATTTGGTTTCTTTTATACAGGCTTATAATATATTTAGGTGTATTTAATGATTTCGATTAGGCTATCAATTTAATCCGATACTTTTAATTTGCTTCAACGTTTCTTAATGTTTTTATTTGTCCTTTTGATGTTAGGAAAGATACAGCGCTACGATTCATTACAGTAAGATTCAATTATTATATCTCTTTCAAAATTCGTATATGTTAATTTCTTTTTTTTCTTAATTTTCTAGCAATAGTGGCCTCGGGCGGCCCTCGGCATACGAATAATTCTCGTGTGAAACTGATCTTTCAAGGCGATAGTGCCTGTCATTTTAAACAATTTATCTGTTAGGGAGTTGTGCTGCTTCTGAAATAAGTGTATATTTTTTGTTTTATGTTGATTTGGTTCTGATTTATGAAAACTTTTATTTATTGATTAATTAATTTATTTATTTTGTTCTCTAATTTTCCTGGGACTATAACATAGGAATGAAGATTAAGACGGATACACCATTGGCAAAGAAGGCACGGGAAGGAGTAATGGAATTTTTGCTGATGAACCATCCACTGGATTGCCCAATCTGTGATCAGGGTGGAGAATGTGATCTCCAGGATCAGTCTATGGCATTTGGATCTGATCGTGGCCGTTTTACTGAAATGAAGAGATCTGTTGTTGACAAGAATCTTGGACCTTTGGTGAAGACTGTCATGACTCGGTGCATTCAGTGCACAAGGTCTGAAATAAATCTAACAATATCTCCAACTGCTTTATTTCTTTATATTTTTAATCTATTAAGATTTGAATCCAAAGGATGAGTGCTTCCACTTGAATGATAGTTGTATCATTGTCACTAATATTGCTGATGTATGTCCACCACCTTTTTAATCATGTGTTGTCCCACACTTTGAATGGTTTATATCAGATTGTGATTAAGTGGACCTATACAATTTCTAGTGTGAATTTTCTTTGCTTTTCTATGATATACTGATGTCGTTCTTCTATAATTACACATCTCAGTCTAAGTTCTAAACCTTTGCGCACAAAAATTATGCCCTTGATAAAGGATATCACATTATTACCTGGAAAATGCTTAGTGGCATTTTTTGTGGGAGACACCTCAATGAAGCCAAATGAAGTTTTGTTTGGGCTCTTTGGTAGTTTGGTTCATAAATAGATCTTCCAGGGCCTCTTTACTGTTCTTTCTTTTTCGAGTATCAAGCTAAAATTTGCACCTTCTTCTTTAACCCATTCTTTGGCCAGTGCCTTTTGATTGTTTCAGGATTTTTTTATTTGAGAAATATCCATAAGCAATTTTCTTCTCATTCTATAGTCGGACTTTGAGGCAACTAATTTTTTTTTTGGTTTCATCAGGTGTGTCAGGTTTGCAACAGAAGTTGCTGGAGTTCAGGATCTTGGCATGTTAGGTCGTGGTAGTGGAGAAGAAATTGGGACTTATGTTGAAAAGCTTATGACAAGTGAACTTTCTGGAAATGTAATTGATATATGCCCTGTTGGAGCCCTTACCTCAAAACCCTTTGCATTTAAGGCCCGAAACTGGGAAATGAAAGGAACGGAGACCATTGATGTGACTGATGCGGTTGGATCCAACATTCGGATTGATAGCAGAGGTCCGGAGGTTATGCGTATCCTTCCACGTTTAAATGAGGTAAGTGTAAATTTTTGTAAGCTGCTTATGGTACACTCATTTCTAGGAGTCTTTTATGTGATGCCCACGAAGCAATGAATTATATGTAAGCTGCTTTTGTGCTAGTTCTCATTTTGTTTTGATCTTGTGACTTCAAGTGACTCTATGACCTGTATCATTTCTGTTATGAAATGCAGCCTCACAAAGATGTTGATTTCTTTTGTGCTAGTTCTTAAATTGTAGACTTTTCTCTTATGCCTTGTTTCATTTTGGTAATAATGATTGAATGGTCTCTTCCAATTTGTGCAAGATTCGAAGTAACTAAATTTTCTTATCATAAATTGCTGAAACTTCAATGTTTAAAATTTGAAGGAAAGTTGTTCTTTCAAAGCTGATTATATTTTCCTACTGGTGCTATCCCTATCTGGTTAACATTCATTAATCATTGAAATGTTTCTTGATGCATCTTTTCACCTGTCCAAGTAAGATTTTGGGGTGAAAAAAGAACGATGATCTGCTTGATAAGATAAATAACTTTTGCCTGTTTCGCTGACCTTTTTAGGATATAAATGAAGAATGGATATCAGATAAAACTCGCTTCTGTTATGATGGATTGAAGAGACAGAGGCTAAATGATCCCATGATTCGTGATGCTAATGGGCGCTTTAAGGCTGTGAGCTGGCATGATGCATTGGCTATTGTTGCGGAGGTTGCCCTTAAGGTTAAACCAGAGGAAATTGTTGGAGTTGCTGGTAAACTTTCTGATGCTGAATCCATGATGGCACTGAAAGATTTGTTAAACAACATGGGATCAAATAATGTGTGGTGCGAAGGAACTGGTTCAAACCCTAATGCTGATCTAAGATATAGATATCTCATGAATAGCAGTATTGCTGGGCTTGAGAAGGCTGATGTATTCCTTTTGATTGGTACCCAGGTAATGCTTTATCTGCCCAAATCCTTATATTCTGTACATCTTGCATGTATTCTTTTTGAACGTCTCAATATCTTTTATCCACGTTCTCTTTACATAGTAAGCAATTAGTTGTCCAACTCGTTCCCATGATAGGTGTTCCATGTTTCTTCTAAATTGAATGATTACTTTTTTGGATGCTTGCTCCATGCATTCTTTGAATTTTTTCTGTTGAGAACAAAAGATCTATGATATACACCAAAGGGGGTTAGAGAGTAAAAAAATGGCTATCGAGAGAGCCCAGGATTCCAAGTTGAAAACATAAAGTCGAAGAGGACTAATCAAGTAAGGAAAAAGGATACTGTTGCGAGAAGAATAAAATGTGTGAAGAGTGTGGATGTATATCAAGTAAAAAGTATAATTATCATATAATTTCATGTTAATATTCAGCCTAATAATCATTTAATTTCATGTTAATCTTCAGCCAAGGGTTGAAGCTGCTATGGTTAATGCCAGAATTCATAAGATGGTTCGGGCATCAAAGGCTAAAGTTGGATACATTGGTCCTCCAACAGACTTCAACTATGATTGCCAGCATCTTGGCACTGGGCCACAAACAATTCTTGAGATTGCCGAAGGTTGTCATCCTTTTTCTTCAGCCATCACAAATGCCAAAAACCCAGCCATCATTGTTGGTGCTGGGATATTTGAGAGGGACGACAAAGATGCAATTTTTGCCGCTGTTGAAGCCATTGCAAAGAAGGGGAATGTCATCAGACCTGACTGGAATGGATTCAATGTTTTACTTCTCAATGCTTCCCAGGCTGCAGCCCTTGACCTTGGACTTGTGCCAGAATCCAGCAACAGCGTTGAGTCTGCAAAATTCTTGTATCTTATGGGTGCTGATGATTTGAACTTGGAAGAAGTGCCAGAGGATGCTTTTGTGGTGTACCAGGGGCACCATGGAGACCGAAGCGTGTATCGTGCCAATGTAATTCTTCCTTCAGCAGCATTCAGCGAGAAGGAGGGCACATATGAAAATACAGAAGGGTGTGCCCAGCAAACATTGCCTGCAGTCCCTACAGTGGGTGATGCTAGGGATGATTGGAAGATCATTCGAGCTCTCTCTGAGGTTGCAGGAATTCGTTTACCTTATGATACATTAGCATCCATACGATCCAGGATGAGCACTGTGGCACCGAACCTACTCCGCACTGATGAGATAGAGGCGGCTTCTTTTGGATCAACATTGAGTCTCGACTGTACTCAGAAGATATACTCGACACCATTCAAGGCTGCTGTTGAGAATTTCTACATGACTGATTCAATTACTAGGGCATCAAAAATAATGGCACAATGCAGCGCGACGCTACTAAAGAAGTGAGTGGTGGACTTGAGTCTTCAATAAATATTTTTTTTCTTTCTGTTGGTTCATTTCTATCATACCTTAATCAGTGTACCGGCTTAGCTTCTTGAACATACGTGAATAAGGGAACTGAGGTCCTTGGCGTTTTGTTTCAATGTAACATTGGATTTGCAGTGTGAAAGCATTTGCCTGTGTAAGACTCGTTGTTTCGGAATTCACTCCATTGCATTTCTCTCTTCTATCCCTGCTAGTACAATTTAGTTCTTCGAAAAACTGGAACGGACGGAATTCAAAACTGGTTGATTTAACAGTTTAATTTTACAGGTTGAATTGAAAAACTAAGAACCGGTAAAAATAGGTCTGGAAGAACAGAACCAAGAAATCCGGAGGGTTTTTTTTTTTTTGTATCTTTTAACCAAATTTTGGATCATTTTATAATCCATCTTTTTTTCAGTCTCACCCACTATGATTATTTATGCTACAACTACAATGACGATGGAATTGATTAACGATATAATATATGCTTTTTAGTAATATTTTTATGTGCTGGCTGTGGGTTTTGAATGCTGAGTGCATATGAGAACGTAAAAAACCAAGTGGGTGGCTTTTGTTTTAGCCTAGATGTCTTGTTTACTTGGCGAGAAAGTCGAGAATTCCCACAGATTAGAAAACAAAGAGGGAGCAGTGAGCGATTGGAGGGTTAATATAATAACTGGGAAAGGGCAGTGAAAGAAAAGATTAGAAGCAGAGGAGAGATGGAGGTGTTAGGAGATGAATTTGGATATGTGGTGATAGTGGTGGTTCTTTACAGCTTCCTCAACCTGTGGATGTCTATCCAAGTTGGGAAAGCTCGCAAGCGGTATAAGGTCTTTTACCCGACTCTGTACGCTCTCGAATCTGATAACAAAGATGCCAACCTCTTCAACTGTGTTCAGGTTTTTTGCTTACTTCGCCTTTGCCTGCCTCATTTTGGCTTTCATTTACTCATATAGGAATGATTGCAGAGAGGGCACCAGAATTCGCTGGAGATGATGCCTATGCTCTTCGTATTGGTTATTTTGGGAGGGATGGGCCATCCTCGCGTCTCTGCTGCCCTGGGACTCTTCTACATCGTCGCCCGTTATTTCTACTTCACCGGCTATGCCACCGGTGATCCCAGTAACCGTCTCAATCTCGGGTATTTCATTCCTTTCCACTTCTTTTTCCCATTTTAGTACCAGTAGGTCATGTTTCTTGATTGAAGATGTTACAATACAATTATTGATAGGAACAAAAGTTATGGACATGATTGTGCAGGAAATTTGGGTTCTTGGCATTGGTTGGGCTCAAGATCTGCACTATTTCATTCGGAATCAGTCTGCTTCGCCTTCGACCATCATATTGACTTTGCAAACGCCTCTCTCTATTGTGCTTCACTATCTATTGTGTGTTCGTATTATACCATGGGGGTTTGATGTGTTTTGGATGTTCGATTAACTTGAACTCTGTTGCTTGCAGCTGATATATATCATCAACCTCATTTACTTTTTCTCTTATCACGACTATTATAATTTTAAATTTTATATTCATACATGTTTATTTATCTTTTAAAAGTCGGACCGAATCGAATTACGACTTGGTTTCTTCAAAGAAACATGTATGGTTCCAACCCAAAGACGTTTGTATGCATCCTCAATTCGGAGAACAATTTTCATCCCCAACAATCTTGTGTGGCAACTGTGAACATCTAAAAATATATTGATGGATGTTAAAGTAATGATTTAGCGTGAAGGGTAACAAACTTTCTAAGGGCATTTCCACCCATTGATATAATAAGATGATGGACAGCAAGCATATGCAAATGTTGGCACCAAACATTGATAAAATTTGAATATATAGTTCTTGTAGGCATTAAATGCCTTTGAAACCCCTACATTTCCACTATTGCGACCAACAACGTTGTACCACCGAGGCTTTTCTAGTTTCCTTCCCCTAAATTCATCGTATATTTAAACTGTCAATTTAACTTGTTAACATTCCAATAATAGTATAATGATAACTTTTACTACCATATTTTTAAAAATAATAACTTGATTTTGTGATAAGAGAAAAGTGATGGACTTTTGTTTACCCAAAGTCAAAGTAGAATTAATAATTATATTCCCTGTTTCTGACAATAGTTTTCCCTATTTAATCTTTGAATTTTTCTTTTTATTTATTTCACTACTGCACCTGTTGGTAACTCCACCCTATTAAAACTATAATGGAGCGCTATCAATCGGTACTTGTGACAGCGACCACTGGAGGATGGTCGCACATGCTCTGCTGTCGTATCACACCACCCCATAGACGCCCAGGATCCTTCCGTACGGATGAACCAGCGGCCCAGATTGTCTCTCCTCCAACATCTTTAAACTCTCTCTCTCTCTCTCTCAATACTTCCTGCTGCTTCAGCTTTCAGTTTTTGGTGGTCCACTCCCCTATAAAAACCACTTTCTTCCCTTCCCTTTTCTCTTTTTTAGTTGTTTTGGCTGAGTTTTGTAGTGATTTAAGAAAAAAGCCCCTTACCCTAGACCCATGGTGTTGTGATGGAAGAAGAAGAGGAAACTCTGTCATCTCCTCCTCCTCCCTCCACTTCCCGAGCTTAAGATCTAAAATGGGGTTTGCTTTTTTAAAAACAGTTTTAGGGGTTTTGCCATTTCATGTGCAATGATTGCAGTACGAGTGAAAGGTTGTGATTTGTTGGGTTTCTTACTTTAATTTAGAATTATCTTCTTTCGAACCAGAAACTAAGTTTGATATGAAGCTTTCAACGTCAGGACAGGGTCAGCAGCAGGCTAATGAAGGTATTCTTTCTGTTCAAAGTTTTTAAAAGTATGATACTTTTTTCATGTATCTAAATCTTGTTACAGGTGCACATAAATGGATTTATTTGTTCATATTTCTTCATCTATTCAAATTATAATGAATGGTCAATGATTATTAGGGGAAAACAAGTGCCTGAACTCTGAGTTATGGCATGCCTGCGCCGGCCCACTGGTTTGTCTACCCACTGCGGGGACCCGTGTCGTCTACTTTCCTCAGGGTCATAGCGAGCAGGTCTTTTTTACACGCAATCAAATGCTTCTCTTTTTCTTCCCTGTTCATAACCGACGTTTTTTAGTTCCAAACATAATGGAAAATGTGATCAATTTTCAGGTAGCTGCCACCACTAACAAGGAGGTCGACACCCACATTCCAAATTACCCCAACTTGCCGCCTCAGTTGATATGTCAGCTCCACAAAGTCACCATGCATGTAAGTTCTTTCCCTTTTATATCTAAATTTTCAGTCATTCAGTGTCTAAAGAGTTCAAACATTGCTTATGCATGTGTTATGATTTCAGGCTGATGTTGAGACAGATGAAGTATACGCCCAAATGTCACTGCAGCCTTTGACACCTGTAAGAAGCATTGCTTTCTTCTTCACTTCAATATACAGTTTTGGGTTCGTTTTATATGTTTTTCTCTTTTGCCATACAGGAAGAGCAGAAAGAGACATTTCTTCCTATGGAGTTGGGGATTCCAAGCAAGCAGCCAACCAATTATTTCTATAAGACACTGACAGCAAGTGATACTAGTACCCATGGTGGTTTTTCTGTTCCACGTCGCTCTGCCGAAAAAGTCTTCCCACCACTGGTAATCTATGACTTGTATATCTTCTACCTTCATGCCAGTTTCTTAGTGCTGACGTGTTTGTTCTTTGTTTGCAGGACTTCTCGCAACAGCCACCAGCTCAGGAACTTATTGCGAGGGATCTACATGACGTTGAGTGGAAATTTAGACATATATTTAGAGGTTAGTTTCAACTGCTGCTTCAATCAAAGGATTCTCATAGCTTATAGTCTTTCTTTTCTCCTAAACCCTCCAACCCACCTCCCTTTTCCAACATTTATAGAAATAAATAGTTTCCTTTTTTCTTTACAAGTTAATTATTGGTGTAAATGGGACATCGGGCTTGTATCTGTGTTCGTGTTTAATGAAATTTTCTTTGATTTTGGTTAATAGTACCAAATAGTTCAAAAAAGGGAGTTAACTGAGTCATATTCGTCGTCTACTATGCAACTTACATTGTATTTAAGTTTTTCAAAGTGCCTGGTGCATATAGTTTTAAGTCACTTTTATCTCCTTAGTTCTATGGTTATCTTTGTTCCAGAGGTACAGTGCCTTTGCTGCATTTCAACTTGGCCCTAAGCTAACTTAGACACTTTGGCACAGAAATCAAATTGGATCTTGTGTGAAATCATGGTAATGATTCACAAAAAAGAAGACTGATAGGTTGCTTTTTTAGCTCATATTGTTGAAACATCAACTTGAGAAGCATCGAAGCCATAGGTCAATAAGATGTGGACAGACTCAGAAGATCAATGTTCAAGTTAAAGTTGTATGATGCATGCTTTAAGAGAATATGGAAGTTACTGCCACTTCTTTATCAGTGCAATGTTTATTGTGTAATTAGAACCAGTTTCTCCATAAATAATGAAAACCTTGTAACTAAGTGGTTTATCTCAGCAGGGTTTAGGAGTGGGAACCAACAATTACTAAATGAACCTCTAAACACAAAAGAATATCAACCGAGGTTTACATATCCTAGATTTTGTTCTGAGTTGATTGACTAATATATTTTATATATTCGGGCATGCGACTTCAGTCTATTCACTTGATATTTGCTATAATGATTCTTTTTGTGCCTGTAGTTAAGGGAACTATGGTTGGACGGTCTTTTTATAATCTGCTTTAGACAACCATTTTAGTAACAAATTAGATTTTCTTTTGTTGGACACTAAAACCATCCATCTGAGACTGCAACTATTGATTTTCTATTTAAGTTGATGTGGTGTCACCTGACTTGCAGGACAGCCGAAACGCCACCTTCTTACTACAGGCTGGAGTGTGTTTGTTAGTGCCAAGAGACTTGTTGCAGGGGATTCTGTTCTGTTTATTTGGTATTCATATTCTTCTTTTTCCTAATCACGCTGCTAAATATTTTTTAAATGGCACATAGCATTATTACCATATATTGTCAATTTTTGTCATTAGGAATGAAAAGAACCAGCTTCTTTTGGGAATTCGCCGCGCCGCTCGCCCACAAACTGTAATGCCATCATCTGTTTTATCTAGTGATAGCATGCACATTGGACTACTTGCTGCTGCAGCTCATGCTGCTGCTACTAATAGCTGCTTTACAGTATTTTATAATCCGAGGTGGTGATGATTTCTTAGCTCTGATTTATTCTTTATGTCTTATCTGTTAACAAAGTTGTTTTTATAATATGCAGGGCCAGCTCATCTGATTTTGTGATACCCTTTTCAAAATATGTCAAAGCTGTTTTCCACACACGCATCTCAGTTGGGATGCGTTTTAGGATGCTTTTTGAGACAGAAGAATCAAGTGTTCGTAGGTATTATTGTTATTAATGGTTCATTTAATATTATTTTATTGCATCACCCCATGAGATTCTATGAATTGCTTCTGTTTATCGGATTCTTGTTCTTGAAAGCCCATCTAAATATTTTAATGACAACTTTTTGCTGAATTTTTGATATGGTGTCAAATAACTTGTGTATATATTGAAGTGAAACTGTTTTATGCTTGATTACAATTATTAGGTGAAAAGTTCATGATAAAGAAGTGGGGTCCTTGTTTTAGTATTTGAAACTTTTTCTTTTTAATTTTTTTTACCTTAAAAATGGTTGGATTTTATTAGGTTTAGTAGAACTAGAGTGACAGTTCATAAAACTTCGGCTATTGCACCATACTTTTTACTATTCCATGCCACATTTTTATTATTTATTTGAATTTCAGGATAAAAGGTCAAGGTTTTAACTTTTCTATTATAAGACTTTTAGTATTTTTATGCCAAATAGGAGCGATTGAGTTATTTTTTTGCCAACTTTGTTCTCTTTTCTGTCACACTCCCGCGCTGTTGATTTTTGTTTCCCAGCTGAAGTTTGTTGTAAGCTTGCTATTGAAAGTGTAGTCTTAATGCATTGCTCTCAATAATGCTGCACAGAAGTTTTTATATTGCACCATATATTTGTTCATATGTAAATGCCAAACTTCTCCTTTTCTAGGTATATGGGTACAATAACAGGAATAAGTAGTTTGGATCCCGTTCGCTGGCCAAATTCCCATTGGCGGTCTGTGAAGGTAAATTTTAACATATTTATTCATGGATCACTTAATAGATGGTGCACGACATATTTCTTATTGTTTGCGATGATATGGTGGCATATTCTATTTTTTTGGGATAAGTTTCATTCATTGTCCAGTAAGCAATAATCTACTACAAAAATACATCAGTGATCACTGCCCATCACAGAACTTTTACATGACAGCAAATTCCACAAACTATACTAGGCTTGTTATTTAACCTATCATTCATGGTTATCTTTTCATTGAAAAGCTTAGCCCGAACTGTTTCTTTTATTCTATCTATAACCATCATTTCAGTACTATTGCCCTTTTGAACTGCCTATCGAGTACCCCTCCTAAATATTGCCCAGGTAATTTCACTATTGCAAACCGTGTGACCTCATGCACTTGTTGTAAAGTAGCTTGAGACATGTCAATCAAATACACATCGCCCTTAGAAGGATTTAGTTGTAGCCTGTAGAATTTTGAAATAGAACGCTTTCTCATATCTTTATTCATCAACATTATGGGTATATAAACAAGTATAAAGGTTCTATAATATGTAAAGTAACATCTTACATTAACTATGTAATAACCTACATTAAATACAATATATATTAATCCAAAGATTTAGCCTACAGATATGTAACGCTCCCCCGTCAAGTTGGAGCATATATAATCATGTCCAACTTGTTATCTAGAAAATCAATTCAGACCCTGTTAAGAGCTTTTGTGAAAATATCTCCTAGTTGTTCTCCAGTTTTTACATAGTTGGTAGTAATCAAACCTTAAGTCCCATTAGAATGCATGGCATTTTACATCTGATTTTGAATTTGTTTTTTACTTGCTCATGAAAAAGAGTTATTTTTTCTTCTTTTTTTCCTTTTAATTGAATTTGATTTCTTGCCCACTACTATGTGTAGGTTGGTTGGGATGAGTCAACAGCAGGTGAGAGGCAGCCAAGGGTATCATTGTGGGAGATTGAGCCTTTAACAACATTTCCAATGTCTCCATACCTATTTCCCCTCAGATTGAAACGCTCTTGGAATTTTGGTTCCTCATCTTTGCATGGTAATTCTTTCTGAGCTTATTCCCTTAAGCCCGTTTTCCAAGACTCGGCATTTAATTTAAATTTAATGCTTTAAGATTGATTAAACTGTTCTTTCGGGGCTCTGGAATTATGATTGTCGGTTGCTTTAGGTAAAGTTTGTTTAATAAATCTTCTGGAATTATTTCAAATCCTCTGTCAGTATTAGAATCTATTAGGCTGTACCAATTTCATGCACCATTGATAACAAAATCAATGAAAATGATTGTCATTTGCCTTCTGCTAGTTTTCACTGCTTACCTTAACTTGGACAGTTTGATCATGATGCATGGTAATATGTTTGTTACTATTTACTTGTTATCTATTTCCCTGGGTTTTTCACAGTGATTGCTATGTTCTTGCAGATAACAGAGATGATATACCTAATGGATTAATGTGGCCAAGGGGGGGATCTGGAGAGCAAGGACTGCAATCTCTGAATCTTCAGCCTTTCGGCTCATACCCATGGATGCAGCAAAAACTAGATCCGAGTTTCCCTGGAAATGATTATAATCTGCAGTACCAACACATGCTAGCCAATGGATTGCAGAACTTTGTGAGTGGGGATCTGCTGAGACAGCAGTTGCAGCAATCTTACACTCAACCGAGCAGCCATAGTTCACTTTTGCAGCAGCAGCAGCAGCGAGCTGATTCACAGTCAGTTACACATGACGTTATGCAGGCACAGCAATCCCAAATTCTAACTGGGAGCTTGCCCCCTGTCCTTGGACAAGAAGAAGTAAGCAGTCACTCAGAGGAGCGGGTTCAGCAACAGCATAGCGTGATTCAAAGTGATCAGCTCCAGCAGAGGCAGCTGGCGAATGTGCCTTCATCATTTCTGAAACCAGATTTTTTGACTCAGCAAAGTTCTCAGAATCTGGTCCCCCTCTTCTGAATATGCTGGGTTCATTGTGTCCTGAAAGCAGTGCAAATCTTTTGAACTTCTCCACAACTGGTCAGTCAATGCTAGCTGACCAATTACCCCAACAGTCCTGGGCCCCAAAGTATACCCATTCACAGGTAAATGCCTTTGCTAGCTCAACATCGGGTCCACAAGTTTCTCCTGGAAAAGACGCTATAACAGAGCTAGATATCGGTAACACGGATGCTCAGAATTCTACTCATTTTGTTGTTAACAACGATTCCTTTGGCCTTCTACTTCCCACCTCAATGCCTGGTTTCACTCCATCTTCAAGTGAAGCTGATGTGCCATCAATTCCATTGGGGGATCCCTCATTCCATAATCCTCTGTATGGTTTCATGCAAGACTCAGAGTTGCAGGGCACAGGGCTAGTTGACCCACCTACTCCACCTCCAACATTTGTCAAGGTATATGAACAGTGGCTTCTAATGTGGATTTCATATTCATCATACTTCTCTCAAGATTACAATGATCTATGTTTTCGTTTATTTTTGCAGGTTTATAAATCAGGGTCGGTGGGACGCTCATTGGACATCTCCAGGTTCAGCAGCTACCATGAGCTGCGAGAGGAGCTGGCTCGGATGTTTGGAATTGAGGGGAAGTTGGAAGACCCTCTTGGATCAGGCTGGCAGCTTGTATTTGTCGATAGGGAGAATGATATTCTTCTCCTTGGAGACGACCCATGGGAGTAAGTATTTTCTATTGTTATAAATTTAGTCAAACTCCACATGCATGCATGGTCTGCTGTTAGATTAGATTCACAAATGAAGAACTTAGAATTGCACTTCAAAACATGGTCTCTGATAATCAGTCTCTGAATACTCATAAAAATGATATCATTTTTATAGTTGGACAGATATCTTCAGTTATCCGACCTTTTTTTATTGGTCTTATTTCCATCTTGTAAGAGTTTTTACAAAATAGATTTCTGAAGTCCAAATCAATTTAAGTTCTGATCGTTTGTAGTTTTTGGATACTGATTAACTTTGCCAGCAGTTGTTTAAAACTAATTGGAAAAACACAATAATCTCTTTTAGCTGCTTTTTAAACAACTGTTTCATCATGTACATATCCTTTACGATGGAATTGCAACAGTTACATCACAAGACCGAATCATGTGGTTTGAGTTAGAACTCGAGATGATTTTCCTCGCATTTTGATGACATTTCATTCGATTATCGTTTCGACATTTAAGCGTATATAAGCGTGGTTAATTTTTGTTTGAATAATGAAACAATGCAGGGCATTTGTGAATAACGTTTGGTACATAAAAATACTTTCACCGGAGGATGTGCAGAAGATGGGATAGCAACAGCTGGTGTGATTCCGAGGTTGAAAGATGAACAGCACCATTGCCGGTGGCCGAGGTCATATCTCAGTCTGTCTAGGCTTAACATGTTGGTTGAGTTGAATTAGAACCAAATTCCAGTAAATTTTGCAGTATCCGCTCTTGGAGTGAAGAACCTCCCCACTATTGTGTAGGACTGTTGTATGTTATTTGAATTACACGTACGATTATATATCAGAATCAAACTTGATCTACTAAGACTTCATTATTTGTTATGCTTGTAATGGCGTCTGCGTTCTTTGCTTACAAACCACCCTTGGTCATTGTTTTTTTAGTTTAATAACTGATATTTGATGTATTAATTGTCCTGGATAATAATTGAGTTGATTGACTCTTATAATTGTGCTTGAATTAATCAAATCGACTTAATGTTGATCGATTTTGTCGATTCAGTCCATTAACTCGACTTTATTTTATAATTAAAAATTATACTTAAATTAATTGTATTCTATAATTAAAAAAATTATACTTAAAATAATTAAAAATATATTATCCATTTATTATGTAATTTATATTTATATAACATGAGAATTGGAGAAATTTAATTTTTGGATATTGATAAATACATTTTGTTTTAAAATTTTAATTAATGTAAAACTGCAATGGATATATTCGTCAAATATTTTGAAAGTTGATTTAATAATATAATTAAAAAAGCTTACAATAACATATTTGATAGGGTTGTTTTTTTGTCTCTTTAGTACCTGATTCGAATTAATTGATCAATAAATCAAATACCGATGGATATAAAAGAAAGGTTAATGCAAAAATAAGTGTTTAAATTATATCCTAAGTTAATAATTGTCTAAAGAATTTTTCGTTAAAAATAGGTGTTTAACGTTTTCGATATGACATTTTTAGAGTTTTTTTGGCCTAATACCTCAAGCGGATCAATTATTTGGGATATTGGGAATACTCAAATTTTGTTTTGGAGAATGCGACGTTTTCTACGGTGTACTCGAGGTGACAAGTTCCTTCAAATATTATTTTTATTGGTCCTTGTGTAGTGGGTCCCACATCGACCATTATTTTATTGACATTATAATAACTCATCACGCTGAGGTGATGAGTCTATTAAATTTTTTTTTAAAAATAAGATTTTTCAAATTAAAAAATAATACGGCGAACTTCTATTTCACGCAACATATATTCCAATTTCCAAGTGAATATTGTTGTTCGTCTGTCCATTGACCAACAACTAGTGTTTTTAAATTGAACACGTGACAGTTCACTCTAATTTTTTTTCTTTTTTAAAATTTAAAAATTTTATTTTTAATTTTAATTTTTAAAAAAAATATTTTTTAATAGACTCATGTCAAATATCAATAAAATAATGACATAAATAGGACCCACTATGCAGTGACCAATTAAAATAATATTTGAGGGGTGCATTATAGAAGCTACAGTATTTTCCAAAATAAATTATAGGTAAACCTAATACCCCAAATAATTGATTCACTTAGGATATTGGGCAAAAAAAACTCATGCCTAATGTTTTTATTTTCGTTATCCTTTTAGGTGTCTATATAATAAATACCATTGAAAAAATCGATAAGTGACATATGTCATGTTTATATTTTAACTTAATACAAAAATAAGTGTCAAAATTATACCCTAAGTTAATTTTAAGTATTTATACAATTTTTTATTAAAAATATGTACTTAACGTTTTTTATATTACACTTTTAGATACCTATACAATAATAAGTTAAAAATTTATTAAGTGACACATATTTATATTTTTATAACGTTTTTTTTAGAAAAAAACTTAATAATATTATTAATAAATGCAGATTCTGGAAACTGCCCCTTTGATATCGCATCTTTTCGTATCCTCTAGCGTTATAGAGAACAGTGCGGATCATAGAGAGACGCTATTCAAATCATGAATACAGAGAAAAGGAATTGGTCTTGGGGAAGGAGGCCGTAGATATCGGCTGCATTAGAGGCTTGGGGATGGGGAGATTTATATGGTTTCGAAAGGAGGGAATATTTAGGGTTTCGAGGAGTAGGGGTGGACTCCACGCGGATGGTTGGATCCGGACCCGAAATCTAGACTCCTCGGATCGAATATAAAAAGATAATAGGAATTTGAAATACAAATTGGACCACCTTATAAGGTGATTTTTTCGTTTAGTTGACCCGATCTCGTTTAATGCCTATCGTGTGTGAGATAAACGTTTTTAAATTTGGATTTGATTTAGACTATTTATTTTTATGGGTAAATTACAAAATTGATTACTGAATTTTCATATAATTTCTATTTTACTCACCGTACTTTTAAAATTTTCAATTTGCTCACTCAACTTTAAACATTGAGTTTTTTTATCACTCGACCGTTTAACAATTAAAAAACCATTTTTTAAACCACATCATAACAGCATGAGAAGTTTAACAGCAAAATGATCAAAAAATTCAATCTACAAAATTAAGTGAATAAATTGAAAATTTTGAAAAATACGTAAAGTGACCAAAAAATTCAATTTGCACAATTAAATGAGTAAATTGAAAATTTTGAAAATTACGGTGAGTAAAATAAGAATCATATAAAAAATCACTTATCAAATTTGCTATTTACCCTATTTTTTGATAAAATTTATTTTCGTTTAATTGAAAAAAAAAATACTCCGCTATGCTAATGCAGTAATGCTGGTGTTCATATTTGTTAAATATGATGTCAAAAGAATTAAGGATTTTAATGAGTTATTGGCGAAATAATCGCCTCCACTTCAACATTTTGTACAAAACCGAATAGGCCTGAACCTAAAATAACAGGGGAAAAACTTCCCATTGACCCAACTTCTCCACTCTCAAAATTTTTTGCTTAAAATAAATTGCACAGCATCCTACAAGAAGATTACACTGCACAGCATAACTTTGATTACCACTAACACGGTACCGAAGCCTTCCCCGCTGTAAAAATTCCGACCCGAATCCGAACTCGTTGAGTTCATCGACGGTGCTGTTATATTTACCATGGTTCCATTCCTTCCAAGGCTGCATCATACATCGACAAATAACAAATCAAACGTGAAGGACAAGTGAAAAAAACACTAAGCCAAAGGGGTAAAAAGTTGTTATTTCTTTTTACCTTCCTGGAAAAATACAAGAACCGTGACCTGTGAAAAGAAGCAAACTTTAGTTTCCTTCTCATGTAATCAATAATGTTGTTATATCAGTATCTATGTGTGCATGCTCTATGTTAATCTTACTTGGATCTGTTGTTGTAATATCTGCAACCCCATTGAAGTCGCATGCGTCGGGAGTCTTCCCCATACGGTGATAGTAAGTGTCGAATGCATAAGTTGCATGTGCAATCACGTTATCAGGCTCATAACATGGTTTCCCCTGCAACAATGCTGAACAATCTACTTTTCCTGGTCCACATGCCCAATCTAAAGCAGCCTGCAACATCTTCGGATCAGCACCTTCCTTTGCCGTACAATAAGTTTGATTAGTGGTGTCGTTTGCTAACAATGCCCCTGAGTCTGTCAAGCGTAGTATGTAAATAGGGTCACCGTTTGCATCAAACAAACCCCAGTTCTTCTCCGAGATTGGCCCGGGTTTCTGGTCCTCATTATAGAGCTCGTAGATGTAAGTGCTAACAGCAATTCCAGGGCGCTTGGGAGTTCCGGTTTTGTTTATCACATGACGGATCAAGTTGCTGTTGTATGTGTTGGCGTTCTCTATTGTGGCATCCGGTTCTTTGGAATCACCTTTCGATGGCCAACCAGTTTCGGTCACTATAACAGGTATGTTAGTGAAGTTCAGAAAAGCCATGGCAAAATACGTAGCATCGACCATAGCATCAAAGACATTGGAGTAGTGGACAAGTGTGTTAGAGTCGACCGCTTCCTTTGTAGGAGGAAGAGGCTTGAAAAGTGCATAGTCTAGTGGAATCACACCATTTGATTGCATATAGTCATAGTAAGGGTATATATTAAGCATGAGAAGCGACCCCGTCGACTGCAAGAAATTAAGCATAGGGACCATAACTGGATTCCACGACCGGTTGAAAAAGGCCTGGGAAGGTGGGAAAGAATCAAGGATTATAGATGAAGCAAGAGGTGATGAAACTTTGATTTGGTTGTCTAAATTCGATGCCACGAGGGCAGAGTGAACAAACTTCATGGCATTCACGAGCACTGGTGCTGCATTAGGAAGAGCAGTGAAAACCTCGGAACCAACACAAATTGCAGTGATGTTGGTTGCTGGATAATGTGCAACGATGTTCCGAGAGACCCAATTAGCTGCAGTGGAATTCGATTGTCCAATGCCAAGGAGTTGTTCGTTGGGGACAGAAACCATAACTCGAATTCCAGTATTTGCAAGAGCAACTAACATTCCTCGGTCCGCATCATACAGCCTAACATGTTGGATTTTCTGAGCTTTAAGAAGAGCAACTACTTGAGTTGGGTGTGGCATGATTGATAGATCTGTCCCTATATTCACTCCAATATATGGATCTGCAACAACAAAATTTGACCAAAATAGTTAAAACAGATCTCTCTACATAGCAAATACGCTGCTACTATCAACGCTTTACAATCAATTAATCATGTTCCTTAAAAATCCATACTAGCTTTAAAATAAGACAAGAATGTCCGATTCTGGTATCGAATTAAAGACACCGTGACAACCCTATGTTACTCGGACTTAAGTGAAAGTGTCAGATATAGAATGCATCCAGCAAGACATTACTTCACTAAAATAGAAACTCCACCATGATCAGTAGAGTTCCAACAAAGAAACTTATCCATGTGTCATTTCTATAAAAATTATTCAAACATGGGTGCATGGTAGCTACATCAAAAGCATTGAGACATGATATATAATGATGGTATGTTCCCTACTCCAAAGCCGGCAACATTTCCTAGATCCAGTAATCTTTTGACCATTTTATTTCATTACCAAGGCAAGTGGAAATGCCACTGCCCGAGATTTCTCTTTTTCTTAAAGAAAATACAGTGAGGGACTAAAAGGAACCAATGGAATCACCTCTAGGATCTACCCTGCTGAACAATATTAGAGCTACATTGATCATTAAATGAAAAACCCGGATCCGTTCAACCGGAAACCGACAAATGTTTCGAGTCTGGCAAATATATAAAAAAACCAGTTCAACCAATGTTTTCTACATTAAAGATAAAGGTTTTGGGTTTCCATTTTCCTTTTCCTTGTATTCAATTCAGGAAAAGAATGCAAATAGTACTGGGAAAATAAGAACAAAATGAGGGGAAAACTATTTCTTTAATCTACCCTGTCCCCAGTATCAAAGCTGGATTCCACATTATACACAGAGTATCCCCATTATAGTCGGTTATATACTTATATCTTTCTTCTTAGAAGAGTTATCAGTTACGTTCTCATTAGCTGACATGTAGGACATATATATATATATGATCTTTCAATACCCCCAACTTCTCTTCTGTCCTCACTTATTCCCCAATTTAATGCTTCAGACCTACTAAAATCCCTCAAAGCAAAGTAAAAAAGGCAAAAGAATTTCATTACAGGCAAAAGAATTTCATTACAGTCAAAAGATCTCCCCTCAAACACGTTTAAACAGTACATTTTCATCAGATTTCTAGCATTCAAATGACTTGAAGAACAAACAAAGGGAACAAAAGAAAACCCAGAAAGCTGATCGAAAAGAGATCGAGCTCATCAGTTGTAAGATCTCTTTAAATGAAGTATTAAGCAAAGATTGAGTAAATGGAAGAGTCGGATATAAAAAGCTTTACCTTCATCAGCAGTTGCTTGAGAAACGGCTAGAAGAAGAACAAAAGCATGAAGCCAGGCCATAGGTAGGAAGATAAAAAAAAAACCCTCGAATTTTTCTCACGAAACAAACAGAAGCCAGAGAGAAGAGAGTGATCTGAGGGAACTGGAAACAACCGGAAACGAGTAGAAAGGCAATGTGAGGCTCAGTTGAAAGAAAATAAGAGAAAGGATAGAGAGAGAGAGAGAGAGAGAGAGAGAGAGAGTAAATGTGGAAAATAATGGAATAAATAGATGAGTAGAAAAACAAAAGAAAAGACATAAGTGACGTAAAAGAACATGTTAGCAGATGAACGGCTAAGATATCATCTGCAACATTTTACGGCAGTTGCATGCAGGAAATAATGGACAGTGTCTTAAATCTACTTTTATATTATGAAACAAAGAACAAAACACAAAGGCCAGGGCTGCACTGCAACATCCTTTTTCTTTTTTGGTACTTGGATTTAGCCGTTGCTGATCTAATATTACATTTATATCCCTCTAGCAGATTTCCATGTAATAATAATTATCTTTTAAAGTATTTGATTCTGAACCGTTTAACTTAGTTTATATTTTCATTCTATTATTCTTGGATTTTTTTTCAATTGTGAGTATAAATAATATTCATTCGAATATAACTATTAATTATTTGATATTGAATGTTCACACTCTTGATAATAGCATTCTTCATGCTCGAACTCGGGACATCACAAAATAATTTCGACTCCTCTACCATTGAGATCGCATGATTTGTGCTTAACCCATGGTAACATAAATTTTAGTATCTATTATTAATAATTAGTATTTTTAATTTTTTATATTTTCTTATATTATATTTTTAACCTATGGTAACATGAATTTAAGCCCGGTTCGGGTCAAATATAAATATTCATACTCTCATAATTGTTGGACGAGACAGCGAATAGGCAAGGACAGCCCGGCCCAACACTTGGTAAAACGAATTTAATTTTTAAGCAATAAATTTATTCTACTATATCTCACCTTTGCAACTTTACATAGGGTTGGACATAGGATCGAACCCGATGGAGTTTGACCTAATCAGATTTGATTGGGTCAACTTTTTTTAAATTTCGGGTTCAGTCAGGTAGGTCGAGTTTTTTAAATATGCTGTTTGGATCGTGTCGGATTCGAGTTTAGGGTGAAAAATATTCGACCAGACTCAAAAAAAAAAATTTACTTTATATATTTATGAATAATTACAATAATATCTTTTATATATTATTTTTTCAATTAAGTTACTGTTTTTATTGAATAAAAATAATATTTTATTATTTCAGGTCGGATCGATCAGGTCAGATTTTTAAATTATATATCATGTCGAAATCAGGTCGGGTGAAATCTTGTTTCATGTGGGTCAGGTCGGATCTCGGGTAAAAGAATCATTATTCTCGGATCAAATAGAATAGACCAAAAATCCGACCTAACCCGAACTATGTGCATCCCTATTCACACTTCTCTCCTTCCCTGCCAAAAAAAAAAAGTTTAAAGTTTCGACGCTGGATTTATGGAAGCCACGAATTAATTTTTTCCCCTTTTAATTCGATAAACAATTTATCGCCCGCTTTTTTCCCGTACCAAAACCGAAATCGATGGCTTGTCTAAGTCTTTGCGTTCCGGAGGGTGAAATTGACGAGTTGCTTGAACATGTTCCTTTATCAACGAGGCGGAAATTATTACTTTCTCCCACCGTTTCGTTCGAGAACCAAGCCGAAACCTCCAAATTCCTGGTTATTTTTTTAAATTATTATTTCTTTGAATTATTAGTTGTTCTGTTGAATTTGTTCTTATCGGCTTTATATTTTTAATGCATAGAAACGTGGTTTTGGAGTTCTTGGCTTTAATTGCTGCTTTCATCTTTGCTTTTCTTTGTGAACAAAAATTGTTTGCTCACTTCACTTATGATACTTTAATATAGACATCATAAATTGAAGCAATGGGATATTGTGACATTTGCTTAGTTAATGGAAACAACAAATGGGGATGACATGAGAAAAATGACTTTTCTTGCCCTTGTATGCCTATCAAAGCTTAAATTCGTTAAAAAAACAAGTTGTTGTTTACTTGTGATGTTAGTCTTCAACTTTGGAGGTGAGTGACCTGAGTACGTTTTAGGCTTAGAGGAAAAATGCAAAGAGATGTTTTTTATGTTAGAACATAAAAAGAGGGGTAAGATCCATAGAAAGAGATGTACGGTTGTTCTTTTTTATTTATTGTATGCAGGTACATTTCCTTTTCTCCAACTCCCTAATTCTAGTGCCTGGGATTGTAATTGGAACTTCAATGTGCTCCTTAGTCATCCAGCATTTGAAACTAAATAGTCTATTTTTCCCACTCTTGCCCTGTCCCTTGAGTTATGGATAGGTTGGTAAGAAGGAAAAGATCTAGCATTGTACCATAACTGCCATTTCCCAATGACATAATTTCATAACTTAGTACGGATCAATATCAAGTCCAAAGGGTAACTTGAAAATGGAACTTCTTAGTTCATCTGGTTGTTTAGCTTATTTAATCTAATGGCTTATCATGCTACGTGCAATAGACCTGTTGAGCTAGAGCAAATTTTGATTAGGACATCTTGGTGTAAGTACATCTGAGCTCATCTTCAGCAGTTGAAATGTAACTCGACTGTAAGTTGGATGACAAATGAAGATAAAACTAGGAGTATTGCCATTTTATCTCAATTCCAAATTAGCAACTATACTAAATGGCCACTATTTTGTGTGTATTTATATTTTGTCTATCTTTCTTGTTTGCTTGTGTCTTACTTTCTTTCTCATGTTAATATATTGAAGGTTGACATATGCAGGGCCCACTTTCCCTCCCTCCTTGCTCTGCCCGAGATCAGGTGGATCAACAATTGCCAAACGATAGTCCTAATTGCAAAGTTACTACTGGTGCTTTTGAAGTTGCAACTATTGAAGATCCGGTTGGTTCTTCTACAGTTTCTCAAGGTTCTCCGCAGGTCTCTTCTTTCAATGATGTAGGTTTGCCAATAAATGGCAACAGTCAAGGACATCAATTGAACAAGATGACAGGTATTGAATCTAATGCTGATGCTTATTGTCTTTCTTCCTCCAAATCTAGTGCCTTCACATGTTCCTGATGTTTTTAAGGTTGACTTTTATAACATGATGTGGTCATGTGGAGTTTATCAAAATGTAATACTAATAGTTCTGCCACTTCTGGTGTTTTAGCTTCCTGCCAAGATATATATTTGCCTATAATTGGAAACAGCCAAGGAAGTGAATCTGACCAGTTGAAAGGTAGTGAAGCTGATGCTTCCGAACTGGAGGAGATCAATGTCTGTGTGCGTGCCCCTTTAAATCTTGTGCCTTCAGATGTTTCTCCTATTGAAAAAGTTAACTGTGCTGATAACATGCCGTTGAGTTTGTCAAAAGGTGATACAAATAATTCTGTCAGTATTGGTGATATAGCTGTGAATAAGATGGATAAAAAGCTCAGTGACTGTACATTTGGTGAACTTGACCATATTGTATTGAAAGAAAGAAGAAAATTGCTTCTAAAAAGGTGCTTCTCTCTGATGATTTTTGCTTATTTCTAGTTAGGCTTTGAGTTAGTATGGTATACTTTTTGAAATTTCCTTTTGCCACTGTTCTTGTATATTATTTTCCAGAATTTTGGCCTTGGTGAAAAATTGTTAATCTATGTGTGGATTTACAGGAAATTTATGGAATTGGAAAGGCCACCTGTAGAGGTAATTTGTCCTACTTTTCTGAAGTTGGAAGTATTATCATGCCAGAATACAGTAGTAGTTATACACCATTTTGGTGGGAAATGTCATTTTCAGTTTTTATGTGTTGTACTTGTGTGTTTTACATATTCACTACCTCTAGTCTATGGAGACAATGATGAAAAGGGGAATAGAAGTTGAATCTGTTTTTTTTCACTCTCCTTTCTCTTCTCTTGCCTTAGTGGAATTGGCAAAATCTGTTCTGGAGGTAAATTTTCTTTTGTTTTTATTGTTGGATGTAAAAGCCTCTGCTTGTCTTCAAAGAGTTCTTGACCTGCTTACTACATGCTAGTTCTTGTACACGGCCAGTACCTGTTTTATAGAAAAAATTTGTTTTGTTTTTTGTCACTTGTTTTAGTTCCTCTTTATCCACTGCCTCCTTTTACAATGATTGAGTAGGTGTTTAATAAGCTTTTTCATTTTTTGTGGGGATAATAATATTATTTGGTAGTCTGAACTTTGTTTTTGTTTTTTTGTTTTTTTCTCTATGGTGTATCCATCAACGGCACTCAGGGTACTCCTGTGGGGTTGACGGAAGATACTATAGATTACTCTACCAGGAGAATTAAACAAGAGCTTCAGCCTATTGATGGCGAATGTTTAACATCTCAAAATCAATTTAATGACAATCCTATAAGAAATGCTGCTTATCTTTCAAGTTATTCAGCAAATGGTTCATCTAGTTTGGAATGCTATGAATGGAGGAACAAAAAAAAGCTTCAACATGTTGATGGTAAACACTGGTCAGGTGAAAATGAATTTAATGAAATACTTAACAGAAGTGCTTCTTATCTTCGAAGAACTTCTTCCACTGGTACATCGAGTTATATTCTTCATGGAGGTAACAATATTAATTTTGCCTGGTTGTGTAGGGACCGAATCTGATAAATCAGGAAATCAAATGGGAGAAAGCAACATAATACGTACCTCTGAGAGAACATCAATAGAATTCAAATTGCGTGATGGAGATGATTTTGTATCTGCAACTACAAATAATCTGTGCAATTCAACTTTGGATACTTCTGTCAAAGTGAAAGATGAACCATTGCATTATAATAACTTGCAAAATCCTGAAAGGAGCACTTTCAATAACATGGTATCAGTGAAGTGTGAAGAGGACATCTCTGATGGAATGGATCATATGCTTCTACGGGATCGGATGAAGTTGCCGTCATTATTTGAGGATTTTAAATTGAATTCTTCCGCGAAAAGTGAGCCTGCTGCCTTTGGAGATAGCCCTTTTGTTTTCGAACTTGCCAAACCTACAACGTTAATCCATCGAAGGAGTAGAAAGAAAACGGCCACGTAGGATATGTCGTGCCTTTTAGTTACACTTTTAAATTCTTGAATTGAGTCTCTGTGTAGGTACCTCAGGAATCTATTGCTTGTGAAAATTTGTAGGGATTCGGTTGCAACAGCATTAGAAGAAGATGCACCTGGACTTCTCAAGGTACTTTATTTACTATACCTTTTTCTTTATGGACTTGGGTTTGTTTTCTATGGGGATATCAAATGGCTGGTTGTTTACGTACTTTGAAGCTACCAGATCAGCATTGCCATCTTCTGGTTTCTAAAATATTTCAGTTGCAGGTTTTGCTTGATAAAGGTGTGTCGGTTAATGAAATTAAGCTTTATGGGGAGTCTGAGAATGGTGATCCCATAGATGAATCATTCAGCGAAGATAGCTTCTCAGAGCTTGAAGATATAATGACTAAGGTTCAAGGGTGATGAGAGTGAAAATTCATTTTATTGCTGTTTTTCTCACTAATTTATTGCAGTTATGTTTTATCACATTTTAATGTGCTTTGATGCTTAATTCAAAAGAATCTGTCGTATCAAATTTGTCTAGATAGTTACCAAAAGTTGTAAAACTAAATGCCTGTGTTTGGTTTATTAATGCATAAGCTAACAAGTAAAAGTTCTCTTCATTTGATTAACTGGAGCTAGAGTTTCTGAATTTGGGATACACTTGTTAAGAGAGTCCTCTAAGATTTTATTTTATTTTTATGGATTTGATTGTAATCTTTCTACTTGTTTAGGCTATTTTAGACTATTTAGGTTATTCCATGTTGGAACACTCAACATTAGAGTTAGGACCATAATGAAATCATTCATATTGGAGGTAGACTGCACCGCAGTTGATTATGATAGTTATACTTCTTAAGCTTTTTTTCACACACACACATCATGCTTGAGGCATCATAAGGGTTCTAGCTAATAAAATGCCCCTTGTGCCATTGACAATGTTGAGTTTCTCTTCGACTATGAAAAAGACAATACTCCCTGCAGCCCTTTTCAATTAACATGGAGCAGGGATGTTAATTATCCAATAAACTGAAATTTCTCTGGGTTTCAAGAGTTCTTCTGTTTACCACTTTGGCTTGAAAATGCTCCTTCCAAGGGGCTTCTGATGTTGGCCTTTCTATAATGTTTGAGACAGCTATTCGCTCAGCGAAGCCAACTTTTTAAGTTTACCTCTATACGATGCCCAAAGGGTCCAAGACCTAGTTATTGCTTGACTTGCCTATTCTCACTTGTGGAGCAGGTAAAAAGCTTTGTACTACGTCAATGTCTTATGTCTCTGTTTATAATGAATTTCTTTATCTTCAGTCACAAAATGCTTATTTAATTTATAATTTTTTGAACATTTTCTTCTTTTCCCTATTCTTTCAGACCCGTTATCTGCAGTTTCGTAAATGGCCAGTTGAATGGGGATGGTGCCGAGATCTTCAATCTTTTATATTTGTCTTTAAAAGGCACCATAGGTGAATGGTCCTCAGCATGAATTATGTTTAAAGTCTGCAATTTGCATTTATTATTATGGCTGATGAAATATTTAATGTTCTCTTGAATGCAGAATTGTACTTGAACGTCCAGAATATGGTTTTGCAACATACTTTTTTGAGCTGTTAGATTCCTTGCCCGTTGGCTGGCAGGTCATGAGATTGGTGACTGCCATGAAGCTTACTAGCTGTGGCAGGATAACGCTGATTGAGAACAAACCTTTGTCGGTAATAATTAATTCATTTTATTTAGATGGTTGCTAACTTGCTAGTGTTTAGGTCATAATAGTTGGATATCTAAGCAAATTGATTTATTCATTTTATAAATTTTGCTTGTTTTTAGAGCAATTTGTAATTTACTATCATAAGTATGATTTAAGAGGAGGGGGCAAGTTTTAACATTACTAAAAGGAGAAATTCTGTTCTTGCCTGTGTTCAATTGTGTCAGCGATTCATATATTTTTTAGTCATAACTCTTCATGGGTATTTTAATCTCATTTTTGGTTCAGATTGGAGAAGACTTGAGTGAAGGTGAGGCAAAGGTGTTAATGCAGTATGGTTGGGTTCCGAATACCGGCTTGGGAACAATGCTCAAGTACTGTGACAGAGTTGTCCATGATCGAAAAAACGAGGGTGACATGTCGGAATGGAGATCGAAAATAGGAAAGCTGCTGGTAGATGCGTATAACAGTGGAACTATAGTCTCAAGCAGTCCCGTAGAGGATGTCAATGAAGAGGATGGTGTGAATAGAGAGATTAAACAGGAGCTTTGATTAGAGGTTTGACCCTAGAACAAAGAGAACTTTTTAAAGCTTTTATTCAATCATGGAATGAGCTTAAACCCCAGTTTTATGTCCTCTCGGAATAGGACATGTGTAATTGATAATTTCTTTCTTGGATTCATCAAGGAAGGAATTTGTGAATCCTTAGGTTTTCTTGCCTATGCTCTGCCTTCAAATTTTAACTCTCTTTTTGTAAAGTTCAGGTGCAAGTTATTAGGTCTAGGCAGAGACACTCATACAAACACATTTGGTTTAGTATGTAATGTACGAATAGAAACATTAATCTTCCTGTTTATACTTCTCTTTTAAATAATTTGCAGATTGACTTGGCAAATTTAGCTCTCGTAATGTTGTTGTTGCCTGTTTTATTTCCCACGCTTTAACAGGAGAAATGCCGAGTATTTATTCATTTATTTTCATTATGTTACAACTATATAGTCAATGCATTAAATATTTATTTATTTTTTCATTATAGCTTAAACTAAAAGCACACGCACACGAGTTTCCATTTTTCAACTAATTTAATCAATGACATGAAGGTAATATTAGATTTCATTTTTAAAGTTCTCTTACTTGAATGCACACAAATTTGAACTTCAATAAAGGAACTGTCACACAACTAAAGGATTGTTCCAAAAAGACGATCAATCAAGTGCTTGGTTCATATATATATATGGTTAAAATTAATAGCAAAATCAAGTGTATATAATTTTTTTTAAAAAAAATTATGTGTTGTAATATGATTGATACAGGTAGACCTGCCGGCAAAATCGGTTGATTAATTCAAAGACCGATGAAAAAAACAAAGGAGAGAGCCCAAATGGAAAATGGGTGAAGTGTCTCGTCCTAAATGTAATAAAACCACAAAAACAATTAAGAATTTGTATAGTCTCCAAAAACATAATCCTCCTCTCCATTCCCAAAAAGATATTGACAGTATTTTCGAGTAGAGCCGAATCAGATCTAAATGATAAATTAAACTGTTAGTTGTTGATCAAAGATAAATTAAATTCTGAACTTCATTCTAATACTTAATTTTTCTTTTATTGGAGTCGATAATTTTATTAAAAATAGAAAAATATTCAAATTACAATGAAGGCTTATAATCGAACTAGACATATAATAGAGATATTTTTTTAAACGTGAGAAAACTAGCTACTTAAGATTATAAATACTATATAAGGAAAAGGTTAAAAACCTAATCAAATAAACTCGGATAAAGGATAGATACGAATATATCTGATCGCATTGGCAAACGAACTACAAAAGGGAACAAAACTATTGAAATGCCACCGAAAAATCGCAAATCAAAATTGAGTGACTTGAAAATACTATCCATAACGCAAGACGCATACCCAAACCCAATCCGATGGTCCAAAACATGTAAGATCAACATGGTAACAAATAACATGCCGTCTTGATTAGTCGTGGCGATATCAAATTTAACCGTAAAAAGATAAACAAAAATAACATCCAAACGATCGAAAACGTGTCATAAAGACATAAAAAGACGTGTTATAAAAGCGAAATTATTTTTTTAAAAAAAAGAGAAAAATATAAAGTTACACTATAATGAAACAAAAGAAAAATAATGAATAACGACGGTACGTGACCAGCACCAAGGCTAATGCCACTACCGATCACAAAAATGAAAACAAAGAGACTAACGATGCCTAATAAGAAGAGATAAAAATTAATACTTAATTTTATTTGTTTGAGAATTCGAATTTTTTTTTAATTTTATAAATGAATTGATTGCACGTTTAGTTGCGCTATTCCACGCGCTTGTCGGCGACTGGACAAATGAAGGTTATATTATTAGACCTCTATTCATTTCAATGTCATTTCATTCATATAATTTTTTTTTTTTTGATAAGTAATTCATTCATATAATTGTTAACCAGACAATCGTGATTCGTAAAAGGGTATCTCCACGCGCCTTCATCCTCTTTATAATTCGAATTATTAAATATCAATATTTTTTTTATAAATACAACAACAAAACCCAATTCCCATATGTATGGGGTAAGGGGGAGGTAGGGTAGTAGGCTGCCCCCAACGTCAGGTTGAGAGTAGCTTCCGTGGAAGACCTCTGGCAGTCAGAAAATTAAAAATATAGATAAAATTCAATGCATATATAAATAAATACATAAATACATAGCTAAACAGTATTCATATGCAGTCATTAAAATCATATGTGCGTCTGTAACGGGGATTAATCCCTGCATAATAATCCCTGCGAAAGAATCTCTGCATATAGACAGAAACATAAGACCCGACTAAATTTAAAAGAGGAAACATGAGAAGAATGATACACAGAAGTCAACGATAGCAAGCCTAGTTCTAATCCTTCATAAATACCAATAACAGAAACGTATAAAAAGTATAAGTCATAGAAAATACTACAAAGACATTAAAAGAAGACAGAGATGATACACCCTATAGATGTGACCCACACTACTCGACTACCCTAGTCTTTAGCCTCCATATTTTCCTATCAGAGGTCATGTCTTCGGTAAGGGCTAAATCCCTCAAATCAGATCTCAAACAGTCTTCCCACTTCCGCCTTGGTCGTCCTTTCCTTCTGGCACCGTCGACTGTAATCGACTCTACCCTCCTGACCGCATCCGACGGTAGTCGCCTAAGGGCATGCCCAAACCACCGTAGTCTTCCCTCCCTCAATTTTTCGGAAACAGACACCACCCCCAAGGACATCTTAATCGCAGAGTTTATCGTCATATCCCACAGAGTCCTACCACATGTCCATCGAAGCATTCTCATTTCTGCGACCTCAATCCTCTTTACGTGATCCTTCTTGGTTGCCCAACATTCTGATCCATACAACAGCGCTGGTCTTATTTCCATTCTATAAAACTTTCCCTTAAGTTTTAGAGGCACCTTCTTGTCACACAGAACTCCAGTAGCGGCCCTCCACTTTAGCCATCCCGCCTTTATACGGTGTGTAACGTCATCATCTACACCCCCATCTTTATGTATCATAGACCCTAAGTACTTGAAACAATCCTTTGAGAGGAGAACGTGTCCTTCTATGCATACTTCTACATCTTCATTGTTTTGGTTCCCATTGAAGTTTGAATATAAATACTATGTCTTTTCAATATTGATCCTTAAACCTTTTTCTTCCAAAGCAGTCTTCCAGGTAGCCAGTCTACTATTCAACTCAGATTTTGTTTCAGCAACTAGGACAATGTCGTCAGCGAAAAGCATACACCATGGTACACCGTCTGGTGTCGCACAGTAGATGTCGTCCATAATCAAGGCGAAGATGTAAGGGCTAAGATCCGACCCCTGGTGGAGTCCGATTTCTACCGGGAATGCCTCGGTGTCGCCAACTGTAGTCCTGACGTAAGTAGTAGATCTACAGTACATATCACGAATCGCCCAAATATAAGCAGTTGGGATCCGTCTCGTTTCTAAAGTCTTCCAGATCGTATCGCGGGGAACACTATCATAAGCCTTCTCAAGGTCAATGAACGCCATGTGAAGATCTCTAGACTTTTCCCTATATTTCTCCATAAGCCGTTGAAGTAGATGAATCGCCTCCGTGGTAGACCTGCCTGGCATAAAGCCAAATTGGTTTTCCGAAACCCTAGTAACTTGTCTCAACCTAGCCTCTATCACCCTTTCCCATAGCTTCATGGTATGGCTGAGTAGTTTAATACCTCTGTAGTTACCACAACGTTGGGGATCTCCTTTATTTTTATAGATTGGTATCACCGTAGACTCTCTCCACTCCTCTGGCATCTTGGCAGTCTCTAAAATAATATTAAAGATGTTGGTCAACCACTTAACTCCCTCTTCTCCTAGGGCCAACCACACAGTGATATGAATTTGATCAGGACCGACAGCTTTGTCCCTTCCCATCTTTCTAAGAGCCATTTTGACTTCCTCAAACCCAATCCTACTTGTAGGGCAGTCATTGGCCGTAGTATGATAGTCGGCTAACCCATCAACGATACTATCTCTACATGGAGAGGCACCGTCATTAAATAAGCCAAAGAAGTAACTACCCCAAACCCTCTTAATATCGTGATCTTTCGCTAAAAGAACACCATTGTTGTCCTTAATAAACCTAATGTTACCTAGATCCTTTTTCCTAATCTCCCTAGATTTTGCAAGTCTGAAGATGCCATTTTGTCCTTCCTTGGTGTCTAATCTCTTGTACATTTCCTCGTATGCCTTATCCTTTGCTTTAGCTACCGTTTTCCTGGCTTCCCGCTTTGCCTCCTGGTATCTTTGTTTAGCTCTCGACCTTTCTTCGTCGTCATTGCATTGTAGAAACTCCTTGAAGCAAGTTTGTTTTGTCTTCACCTTAGTTTGGACTTCGTCGTTCCACCACCACGATTCTTTATGTTCCTTGGCCTTCCCCGTCGACAACCCAATGGTGTTTTTGCCAACCTCTCTGATGGAATTTGTCATATTTTTCCATAACATATCTCACTTTTTTTTTTATTATCGTCAATCTTTGATAAACAAAAATTTACTATCAATATATCAAACACTCCTAGTTTGATATAAAATATAGGATAAATTACAAGTTTAGTATCTTAACTGTAATTTCTATTTTATTTTAGTCACTCCACTATTATTCTTTTCAAAATCATATATTTTTTATTGATCTGGGGTAAGTACAATGCATTATTTGTTCAAAGATAACTCTCAACCATTTGACATTGAACACTCACACCCCTAGCATTCCTAATGCTCGAACTCGGGACCTTAAGGAATAACAACAATTCCTCCACCACCGAGGTCACTCGATTCGTGCTTCAAAATCATATTTAACGTTATGCTTTGGTTTTATTTTGGTCACCTGTTGTTGAAAAAATAACATAACTACAGGCGTGCCATTTTTAAAATTTTTCAATGATGACATGACATTACCTTATGGTGACACATCAACAGAGTCATCTCAGACATTTTTAGGACCCTGAGCGAAACTAAAAAATAGTCCCTTACAGAACGAAAGTGAGATTGAAAAAATTAAGGGCCTCAATTATAAAGGTGAAAATTGAGATTAAAAAAATTAGGGGATTCAGCTACAAAGATAGATAGTGAGATCAAAAAATATTAGGGGCCTCGATTTTAAAGGTAAAAAAGTGGGATTGAAAAAATTAGGGGCCTCAACATAAATATAAAAAGTGAGATAATTTTTTTAGGAGCTTCAATTATAAAGGTAAAAACTAAAAAGTGAGATTGAAAATTTTAGGAGCCTCAATTTTAATTGTAAAAAGTGAGATTAAAAAAATCAAGGCTTTAATTGTAAAGGTAGAAACTGAGATTAGAAAAAGTAGGGATCTCAATTATA